ATTTGAAAAGAAAAGCTTCAAGCTTCATTTTCTCCGTTAATAATCAACTTATGCTCGTCAAACATATGAGACTGGAGTTCTAAGAGTGCAGCTTTGATTCTCTTTATTGTCCTTTTAGTTCATATGATATAGTAACGCAACTCTACAGGAGGCGCGAATTCCGTGTCGCGAATGTCTACGTGGAGCACACGCTTTGGGAGTAACGTAAAGAAGCGAGTTAATGAACCTGCGGAAATTTGTTGATATGTTTTTGGCATGCACGACTCAAAGCTGCGTGAACCACGGCACATCGGAAGGCTGGTCATTGTAAGGATAAAGATATGTTTGGCACCTTTCCTCTATATATATAGCCGAAACCATCGCGCGGAGGTTTATTTCACAATAATTCATTATTATTTTGTTTTCTATCTCTGATGAGTTATTGTCTAAGCTGTTTACTTCTACATCATATTTCATTTATGTTCTTGTGGAGGCGTATTTTTGGGCTAGTTGGCTCATATCCTCGCAGAAAGAGAACGAAAGTGCACAGAAAAAATACAAAAAACCGCATGCGGATGCGCTGCAACCTTCAGCCGCGTCCTCTGCTTCTGTCACATCCATAATGTGCTCTGACGCACCTTCGACCTCCGCTGACGCGGTCACTGCAGCGTACGAACGGACGCATTCCGCGTCCCCATGCCCGAAACGCCTGCAGCGCGAGCACCGAGGCACCTTACACTCGCGACGCACATGTCCTGTTCCGCTGCAACGCAGGCATTGCATAGGCCGACCTGGGGCTACCACTAAGGCTAATTCACCGGCGACTCGTATCTGATGAGGTAGGTCCTCGACTTTCATACCGCTTTTCAGCTTAATGAAAACAGTGCGGGTCGTCGAATTCTTCTCATTTACTCCTTCCACACGCCAGCGTTCCCGGGTCACTTCCGTAACTTTCCCGAACGCTGCCAACGCCGTGCGGACATCTTCGTCCGAAACCCCGTGTAACAGCCAGTGAAGCCGCAGCCTCACCTTCTGCTCCTGAGGGTCGATAACGAGGCAGCGGCGTCCCTTGACCTGGAGTTCTTTCAGTTCAGTCAACCTCTTCGTCGCCTCCTGGCTGTTAAAGGTGACGGCCCACACATGGTTGATCTGGTAGGCGTTCAATGCAATTACGTCGGGAAGCAGTCGTTCCTTGTCCAGGGCATCTCGGAAATCTTCGACCTTGAAAGGCCTCAGTCGAATATCACCGTGCAAAAACACTGTGTTCAAAACAATACGTCCTGTTGGCAGATTCGGCAAGATGATCTCATAATCCTTGTCACTTTCGTCTGCAATCCTGTTTCCGTGGCCACCAAGGACCGCCTTTACCGCTCCGCGGGAGCCCATGATTCCTGCGTCCGACGCGTGCGAGTGCCGGCGAAAGAATGCCACTGCGCCATACCAACATGACGTTGATTGTGTGTTAAATACTTAGTTGGCATACAAAATTACGGTTCAACTTAAGTTATGTTTGTCGTGTACACAACATAGACAAGATCTACACCTGCTACTAAAAATTGCACATTTATTAAACACAAGCAACTGCGGCCTGTAACGATTGGCACTGTGTTAATGGCACTAGTGCTATTTTTTTACAATTCACAACTACAAGAAAAAAAACTAAGTGAACTGGGGAGCAGCAACAGTTTACTGGCGGGGTCTTCCAAGTTTAATATCCATTTCGCGCTCGTTCTAAAGGGCGACATCTGCTCACGCTTTATGACGCTTCTAGGCTCACTCCATAGATACGCCCGCCTAATTTATTTGATTGAGTATTGGGATGCTTTTCGCGCAATAAAGAGGGCGGTCGTGCCAGCTTTTTCGCTAAAGCAACAACTGCATAACGGCTTGGCCAAAACGAATGCAGTGTGCCGGAAACATTACGCTATCATATTGGTTCACCAAGCATACGAATTGCCACGTCTGAGTTCTCGTACAAAAGCTAGAGAAGTGCCAGCGAGTGCGACCGGCGGCTGTCAGTGAGAAGACACTTGCGTTCTCTGGGAGTGCTTTAATCGCGTCGCATCGATGTTTCTTGCTTCCTGAGCGGACACCATACACAATAAAAAGTGCGTCATTTAGGTTAATTGATGCCATGGCTGCGCTGTATTGTCATACTTAATCGTCGAAATTGTGTATTCTGAAACCCGGAAGCACGGATAACACAATTGTACGGGCTCGGTCGGTAGGCCTAACCTTTGGTGGAAATCAAGGTGGTAAAACATGTAGCGTGCAGATCCCAGCTTGGTACACTATATAAATTGCCCGCCATTATAAACCCAGCCATCATCTGCTTACTGCTTCTCAGCATTATCGCGATGGTGGGCAGAGCTTCTCAGCTGGGTACACCATGTGGCCCACCATAACAAGCAGCACCCATCATCTGCTTAGTGCTTCCCAGCATTATCGCAATGGTGGGAAGAGTTTCTCAGCTTGGTACACCACGTAGCCCACCATAATAAGCACCACCCACCATATGCTTAGGGCTTCCCAGCATTACCGCAATGGTGGGCAGAGTGTCCCATTATTGCCCACTATCTAGCCTCTGCTTTCCACCATCATTTCCACTTTACCCATCATCTGTACACCATACCACCCAGTATGTCCCGGCATATCCACCATATTTTCCACTACGTCCCACCATATCCATCATAATTTCCGCCATGCCCACTATTATTTCCACTACGCCCACCATGTTTTCCAGTATCCACCATGGCAATTTTTCCGATAGGGCAGTGTCCCTGCCATGGGATCCATTGTGTTTCTGAAGAAATTCTGACTTAGTTTCTGAAGCAATCTACTTTCTATATATACCTACCATGGCCGGTATCCCTGGATATCTGCGTGTGTTGCCCCGCCAACCAACTTGCTTCCATTCCCCATCCAACCAATCAAGAAGGTGCTTGTGAGACGTGCCCGCAAGTTATTCATAACGAATGATATATTTCGTCACCATACTGCTTTGACCATAACCACCGGCATAGTTGAGAAGATAGTTAACAATGCCTGCGTGGGAGGCGGTTAGAAGAAACCTCGAGTCTACGGTGGTAGAGTCCTTCAAGGAACAACTCGAGGTACAAAGCATCGCCGATGCCAGAGGGTCGCCCAGGTTGATTTCGGGGACGTCTCGGCCACGTACATTGTAAGCAGAACCGTGCACTACGCTTACGCGGTGTGGGTTAATCTGTTCTTCAAGCAAGCGCCACACGATGGCGTATGATGTATATCATCGAGATAACGGCATAGCCGCCTCGTTCAGGGATGTAAGTCATCGCTTAACCATGCATGACTTCAAGTTTCCCCGGCATTAAGCCTTCGAAATCATGTAACGGCAGCCGTTCGCTGCAATGCAGGGGCTCTTATTACAAATATTTTATGAGACCATATGATCTTACATTCGCACGTTCAAATTACATTCGAACGTTCACTGGATGTCGCCTGGATGTTCACTTGAATGACGCCGGCTGCAAGCTCGAGTTCCACAGGCACTGGGTAATAATGCACCGAAAAATCGCCACTGCTAAGTGACATCATGCATTGTTACGCTAAATTGGTGTCTTAATTGTAGTTGGACATGTACTACTCGACTTTCTAGCAAGACTGGTTTGGGCGATTTGGTAGATGCTAAACTGAGAGTCCTCGTCCAAGCTTTGGCGCTGTGTTTCTCCAATTTAACCCAAGCCCCCGTGGTTAGCAGTTGAGGACGTTCAAACTCTCGCGAATTAAATAAAAAATATTTTTTTCGTATATACGCACACATACAAACGTACGCACGCACGAACATGCATTAAGTGTGGTTTGATCCTCACCCCACCAGAAAAAAAAAAAAAATCTTACGCCCTAATGCACTAATGTAATGTAATACATGAGCATTAGTATAAGCCGCACGTGGCCATATGTTTGATGTTAGGGGCTGCACACGATTGCCGTGTACATCAGAAATCATGTGCGGATGTGTTTACAACAATCCTCATTTCTTGCCCGTTCGCGTCGAAGGCTGCTGGGTGGCCCTCTCAAGGACTGAAGACAGGGCTTAGCATAGATGATCTCTAAGCCTCTGCACGCCACCTCCACCGAGGCCCTCTATACGAGTCTCAGTCTATTTTCAGAATCTAATAAGCTTTGTTCTGTGCACCCCAACCTCAGAGCTCATGCACTTTTTTCAAAATCCCAGCCGTGCGACGAAAATGTGGGCTATGCAGAAATGGTAAGTACATTTTGGTGTTGCAGAGTTGAGGCAATTTTAAAAAAATAAATACATTTTTTGTGCATTTTCCATAGAGTTCGGATTAAACCTTTTACACATATGCCGTCAAATTGTCGGGAGTTCTCCACCACAAATAGATTTACACGGGGCTGTGCCGTGGGCGTCTATTTAAATTAATTGCAAATTCACATTAACCGACCTCGAATTAACTAGCATTTACTGTATTTTGTTTTCGGGGACCACTCCAACGCTACCAATTGTCCACATTGCCAATGTTACATGCTATCGAATTCATACGCCTGCTTGCCGTTGTGCTAATCTTCATGCATTTATATGCAGTTGCAATTTTCTGATGATGTCATAAGTTCTGCGGACGCCCAACTGAAAGTAATATTTTAGCAATTTTGGACCCTTGAAGGGCAAGTGGTTACCAAAAAACAAATTAACGTGCTTGTAGCGAAAAAAAAAAACACTAAAGCAAAAAAATTACGCCCAACGTGGGGCTCGAACCCACGACCCTGAGATTAAGAGTCTCATGCTCTACCGACTGAGCTAGCCGGGCGCTGCTGCAGGGCAGATTTAAAAACGTTTTAGTACATGTCACACTACCTATTTTCTCGTATGTTGAAATGTTTATTTAGTTATAACAATAAAACACCACTAAATTTAGGCAATATTAAAAAAGTATTTGCATGCAACCGGTGAAGTTTTTGACAGTCGAGGCGGTTTTACGAACGCAAAGCAACAAGGCGCGAATCGTTTTGTGGTCACGTGATGTTCTGTTGCTGTGCAGCTGACGCATCCAGCAGTTGCTCGTCTTAAAGTCGTTTCTGTTGCAAGTAATTTCGTCCAACAACACTCGCCTTCGATCATGGGAGGACTCTTGAGCCTTTGTTCGGTCGGCTCGGTAAGCATAAATCAAGTTTATCGCGCTTACCTGTATTGACAGACGTTGGGCCATGTTAGGCATGCGTCCTAGGATCTTGTGAGCTTGACAGCTAGCTTGTCGCGAGCTGTTTTCATTTGTAGCCGTTGTTTCTGCTCTCCTGCATGATTTCTTCGACATTTAAGCTTTGGGGAGGCTGATCAAGCACGCATGCTCGCTGACTACGTCCAACTGTTGTTGTTTGTCATAGGCAGTTGAGACTGCGTCTTGTGCGCAAAGTTTCGGTAAGGGATATGAAAACTGGGGTGTTGATAGGTACTAAGTAGCCTTAGTGTAGTATTCATAACAGTATAAGTAGCTAGAGAATCCCAGTTTGGTTTTCTCAATCGCTGCACGTCCCTCAGCATCATCAAATGGTATTGGGAACTTCGTAATCAGGAAGTGCTGTTGTGACGCGTTCATCGATTGCACCGTCACTTTGAAAGATGAGCAAGTACGCATTCGTCAGTCAGTCGGTCTTGCAAGCCACTTCTGTTTCTTGTTAGGTAATTGTCGAATATGCTAGATAATCTATAGAATATGATAGATTGATTCGTTCTGTTGTAAACTTGTCAAAGCGTTGCGTTCGGGGCGCTCCTTGCCGCCCCTTTAGTCAAAATGGACAGGAACGCTGGCAAATAGACGCTTGCACAAGAAAGCGTTTCCTCCTTTTCTGCTCATCTAAATGATTAAAAACCGCCTCGAGAAGCAGTCAGTTCAACTGTGTTTAACTTCTGCAAAGCGCGTTTTTGTCAGCAATGCTATATTTTATGCGTTGCTAGGGTTTCACATTAGTTCACGGGGTGCAAGCATCGCCTCGCGTCCTTGCGAATGAAATGCCATGCAGTTGTGACGCGCTTTGTCCCTGCATACGTAGTTGCAAAGGGGATTCCGAAACGGCCCAAATTACGCGTCCCAGCCGAAATTTGGCACTTCAAGGCACTAGTAATATCAGTTGATACGATGGTATGTCTCGTGTGCTGGTGCAAGACCCGTAGCAGAACATGCCTCCTACTGCGTGACATTTCACCAGAGCCGTTCTTAGGTCGGTGCTCAGAATTTCGGGCATGCGTCATGGAGTGATTAATAGACTGCTCACTCTTATCCAACAGAGTTAAGTAGCACCGGATTTGACCACTAGTAGTGGCTCATCAGTTAATCTTTTAGTTTAGCCATCCGGTGGAACAGTAGCAGTAAGAGAATAATGATGCATTGCGGACAATGTGTGCCAGTAAATCTGTTGTTTACTTTGAGAAATATGCACTTGGATTGCAGTGCATTTAGCCGTAAAACACTGTACATGAAAGATTACACAAAGGACAAATAAAGAAACCTGCTTCTTTATGAGATAGTGAGGGAGAAGCAGGGCTCATACACGTCTGCACGAACTTAGTGCTGCCCTTATCTCACGTGTCAGCGGCCTTCTGGTTGCTATAAAATGCAGCACTCCGAAACACTTCTATGACCAACCATTAGTAAATGGTTTTATATTAGAGGAAGCAGAAACTGCATTCTTCCAACATAGTCTAATTGAATTTTTGTAGCTGTGTTAGCTTTTACATGGTGTCATGCCTTTTTTGCTGTCTACTGTGTGTTGGGAGGGTATGTATACCTTTAAAAGTATTAAAAGCTTAAACTCTTTGAGGATATCTGGAAGATCTTGCAAGGGGGAAAATAACTTCATTTACTTTGTTTTATTTCCTGTGACTGTTCTGGCTTGTGACTTACACTTCAAGGGCACGTCACTAACAAAAACTTGAGTGTGTTGCTGGACCCGAGATCGTGTGTTTAATTCTGGCCGAGTGGGCTGCATTTTGGTTGGATCGAAATGCAAATACATTTGTGTACATAAATTTCGGAGTACATTAGCATCACCTTATTGCTAGGTGATGCTGTAGTGATGTAATGCCACAAAGTTTATTATTGTCATGCACCATGGTAACAGAAGCAACCTGTGGACCCTGCTTGTTTGCTTTGGCGCTAAACTCGCTTCACCGTACACCTATGACCAGAAGTATATGGTGTGTGGAAGCGTGTACCAAAATGGCCACCTAGTGGCGAGTTGTCTGCTGTTGATAGCATTGCTCTGTGTGCCCATTTGTGGGAGCAGTGCTCTCAACTGCAGACAGCAATTTTGGCACTTGCTCTCGTGGTGTGTATATTTTTTTGCTCATGGGTAGATCTTCAGTTTTTAGTCTGTCATAAGAGATTATGAAAAAATGCCATTCCATCTGGTTTACAAGACCTTATTGCACATGCTCCCAAAGCATACACTAGTTTTATGGTTCCAAGGGAACAAAATGTCGCTAAACCCACAATTGCTTGGTCAACAATCTGAAGTTTGTTCGTCTCCGAAATTGCAAACTCAAAGGTGTTTGTTGGGATGCAGTTGTTGGGATATGCAGCATTCATGGATTCTAGATCGGCAAAAATCATGTTTAGGATGACTGCCATTTGGGCGTGTTGGTAAAGGTTCATGATGAGACAAGCGCACAAAAATACACACACTCAGAGAGGACACAGACAAGCGCCTACTAGCAACTGAAAATTTTATTTCGAAGCGAACACTATTAAATACACTACACGCATGTACGTCATTCCTGACTTCCTCTGTCATCATCAACAACGTGATATAACAAAATATGCACGTGCCCACAACCGGAAACAAACACGTGCCAAGAACTAAGAAAAAGAAAACGTAAAAAAACAAACAAAATGAAATAAAAACATAACACAGGGAAAAACACTGGGTTATGTGACGTCCAAAAAAGTAAATTCCGCATCTCTTAGTAGAACTGACGCTTGCCAAGCGTGATTTTTGTGCGCTTCATCTCATCATGAGCAAAAATCATAGGTTCGATAAAGTGTCTGGCTTCTGTTTGTTCACTCTTTCATTTGTCTATGTACGGGTGTAGACTAACAGTGTATGCTTGCTGTACAGCTGGCATGTTGCTGTGGCTCGGCGGCGTGCAGCCTGTGTTGTTCGGCATGTCCGAGCTGCCGCAACTCCACATCTACGCGCATCATGTACGCCTTGATGCTGCTGCTTACCACCATCGTGGCCTGCATCATGTTGAGCCCGCGCATCGAGGAACTACTGGAAAAGGTAAGTTAGCTCTTTTTATCATTCTGCCTGCATTGTCCGCATCACTGTCCACTTCAAAAACTGTAATAGTACATTTCGCTGACCTCTCGCAAGTACTCCATAGTGCTGTGGCATCGCACGTTACAAATTTTGATAGCCAAAATATAGCGACCTGAACAAATTCGGCTGGGCTTAATGGAATGCTATATTCATGATCAGTTTAGTGTGGCATCCAGGGGCTCTTTGGTTTTTCACAAATTCTTGCCACCACAGTCTTGTGGACATGATAACATGTGACTTTGTATTATATGCTAACTCACTTGTGCTGTTTATCTCATTGTTATAGGAAAGATTTGGGCTAATTAAATCCCTCTTGCATGGCATCATGAGGTGATAGTAGCTGTGCTTCACTTAACTACAACCAAGTAACATTATTATATGCTAACTCACTTGTGCTGTTTATCTCATTGTTATAGGAAAGATTTGGGCTAATTAAATCCCTCTTGCATGGCATCATGAGGTGATAGTAGCTGTGCTTCACTTAACTACAACCAAGTAACATTAGGCATTCTGATCTCAGCTAGATTTTTTTTACACAAAGGTCTCGTGTTTTGCAGTATATGTTGCACATCTTCCCAAATAGTTAACTATGAAGTCGCATTACAACGGTTTTAATGTGGCTGAAGTGTTCTCTTCAGTTGCTAAACTAAATTTTTGGCACATAGACTGTACAGAGATACGTGGCACTGGCATATCTTTCAACCTGTTTTGCTCAACTTCACAAGCCTATGCCAAGTGTGCACTTAGCCTGTACAGTATGCGTATGAACGTGCACCGTATTCATTGCCATGAATGGCTGGCCCCACTCTCTCTGCAGGTCCCCCGACTCTGTGAGAGCACCGATGTCTGCAAGAGTGCAGTTGGTTACTTAGCAGTGTACAGACTCCTGTTTGCATTGACACTCTTCTTCATCGCCTTCTCGATGATGATGATTGGTGTGAAGTCGTCCAAAGATCCAAGAGCCGGCATACAAAATGGGTACGTATTGGCGTCCCGTGAGAAAGTGCATGCAGACAGTGTGAAGCATTCCTTTATATTCTTCTTCATCCTCATTGACATTAATTTTTTCCTTAACCATTTGCATGTCTGCTTTCTCTTCAGCATCTCTAGGCATGTGCGAGTAAATTACTTCAAAACCTTAGGGCATTCTTTCTATAGGGGTCTTTCACTGATTGGCAATGTGTCACATTATACCACTTTCTGAATCCCAGTGCTTTTGCTCTGGGATTAGGGTACAAGGAAGAATTGTTAAATGCATGTAGCAATGTGCATTATCAAGACCTTTGATATGGCTGTATACTCATCGGGGTGCAAGCTGAACATTGAGCGCTCAAAGCATGAATCACACTTAATGTTCGCATTAGTGTTGTGTTCTGTCTCTGGCTAAAATGCTTGGGCATTTTTACTTGCTCCACATGTCCCCTTCTGGAACTGCATCCATTTAAATATCATTTTGTCGTCCGAACAGCGCGAATAGCAATTTCTACTAATGCTGTTTATGTGCAGGTAAGAACTGTGTTGTTGTGTTGTTTAGGCTCTTTCTGTTCGTTCTTGCAGTCGTAACTGCGATTCAGATGAGCTTTGTCTCTATTGAATGCTTTTATGACTGGTTTGCATCCTTGATGAATACTGATGGTGGTGTGTGACAAATGTAAAAAGGAAAACAAAGTCAGGAAGAAGTGTTGCAACAACGGCTTGATTTGGGTAAAGTGGTTCACATAGCTATGACATTTAGCATGAAACAGCGTACACAAATCAAGCTCTTGTTGAATCCTCGCTGTTGGTGGTGCTGGCATACACATTACATGTATATGAACTATGTCAGTCTGCTCGTGAAAATGAATTGTGAAAATCTTTTGCATCGGAGTCTTTGTCTGGCAAAATACAAACGTCCTCTCTGTACTTTTCGTGACTGCAGATTCTGGGCTTTAAAATATCTGGTGTTAATCGGTGCCATGGTGGGTGCATTCTTCATACCAAACGGAGCATCATTTGGCCAAGGTACATACTTTTCATGCATGTCGTTTCCTGTATTTGAAAATGTATCATGCCTTAATGTTCTTCGCAAATTTTGCACAAGGGGCCTCTGGTATTTTAAAAGTCCTTGCTAAGACATTTTCTAGTAATACTGTTAACTTTTCAAGTGTAAATGAAATCAGATTTCATTAATGTTTACCTTCTTGTACACTCAACTAATTTAACATTCTTTTCTTCCTTTTTTTGTACAGTTGTTTCAACAAATAAAAAAGTGTTTTTTGCCAGTTGATGGAGAGCCTGTTGTAGGGTGTAAAAGTTCGTAGTTGTCACATGGCATTTGCTATTGGTGACATGCAGCTGTCAGTTTTTGGTTCCTGTGAAAGGAAATGTCTAACCTAATTCCTTTGTATGAGCTGCTTTATAGGTGGTGAATTCTGAGCATGCGTATTAGGGGACCTTGCCTTGGCTCAAGCCATTATATTTGTGCTTTATGTAATTGGATATGTATTTTTTCCTCCTCGTTTCTAGTTTGGATGTACTTTGGCATGATCGGAGGGTTCCTGTTCATCCTGATTCAGCTGATCCTGATCATTGACTTTGCGCACAGCTGGGCAAACAGCTGGGTCGAGAAATTTGAAGAGAGTCAGTCCAAGGGCTGGTACTGTGGTGAGTTTCTCTACAGCATCTTCTTAAAATTATATTGGAGGTGGTGGGTTCTCTCTAATCTGATCAAGCTAAGCTGGATTTTTAATGAAAGGCAATGGAGATAGCGCCCTGCGGTGACAGCTCCTTAGTTGATTTAGCATCGGTCAAGCCTAAGACAGAGTCTTCTCACATGGACGCCCTTCTGAGGCAAATGTCTCATAGCGTGATATAGGAAACAAAGTTGGGGTCTGCTGCACCATTCTGTGTGTGTACCAATATTTTGTTGTTGTTTTGTTCTATTTTGCATACGCCATGCAACAGTGAGTGTTTTCATTGTTTTTCTCGTGTGATTCATCTGTAGACTGTTTTCCTTGCAGCTCTGCTGACATTCACCCTCCTTCACTATGCCCTGGCCATTGCAGCTGCTGTCTTGTTCTACATCTTCTACACTCAGGCAAGTGTAGAGCCATTGTTGGTGTGCTCATTACACACATTGATTTTGTGTCTAAGTACTTACCAAAGTAGGATTCACCGAGCTGTCCAGTGAGATATTTTCAGAGTGGTCTCAAGTTTCTTTCATTGAAGTTTATGTGTGTTGGCAGGCTTACAGGTACAGTATGGTCCACTGTTACAGGGAACACTCGAATGCACACCATCAATATTCCTGGCCGTCTAAAAGCAAGTGGATTAAGAAAGTCTTCATGTAAGCCAATAATCTGTCAAGAGGAGGGTGAACTTTTAACCACCAGTAGCCTTATGCATATCTAAGCCGCTATGATTCCATAAGATAGCGAAATCTAAACATGCTGCTGACGCAGGTGTTCCCGTTAACAGTGAACCCGTCTGTACATATGGAATGGGGCATGGGGGTGCTCCGCATGCCCCTAGTTTCTATTGTCAAGGCCAAGTATAATTACGGTGAAATACTGGTGTTCGTATCCTCGTATTATCTTCATGATGCCTGCTTTGTGGCAACAACAATTGGCTAGGTGAAAATATTTTAATTTGAGGCTCTTATGTTATATATGAATTCTTAACCATTGGACTTTGAAAATTGGGACCTCACTCGGGGTGATGTCCCAAACTGAAGTGCAAGTAGCAGTGCCTTAGGAGTAGCCACTGCAACATGTAGTAGGCTGCAGTTTAGGAAACCATCAAAAAAGAACCGCTACCAAAACTAAGCGATATCTGCCTGAGTTTGGGCTAGGATGCACAGGGGTGAGTGCGAAGATTTCTCGGAGATCTCTCTTTCTTTCTTGTTTCATTTTGCTCACAACTGCACTGTATGTGACCTGTACAGTGAGGGCTAGTTTCCAATCGCCTTGCTTGATTCCCATCACGTTGGTTTAGTAGAAGCTGCCTACTGAACCTTTAGAGGCAGTGTAGCGGCTGAGTGACAACCAAGCTATTTCATCATCTCATTATCGTATGAGAGTGTGCAGAAGTAAGGGTAGAATGGACCAACACCTTTGGCCCAGAGGTGATAGAACTTGCTAAAATCCGCAAATCCATTGTGCATGAGGTTTTTCAACTGCAGACAAGCTATAATCTAGCATGACGACGGTCTGCTCTTGCATTTGCCATTTGCTCTTCTTTCAATGTAATTGGTTGTGAGTGAGGACATGTTTTTTTTTAAAGATGTGCAAATAGTAAATTTTAAGTTCGAAGCAAATAGTGCTTTAGCAGAATAATTTCTAAACCAGCAGTTTGAATAGTATATATATCATATATTATAAAACAAATGAACATGTTTGTCATTACCTAACTAATCAGCACAATATTTTCATGTGCAAATACAATTCTTTTGGTTCAGAGTGAAGTGGAAGCAACTTAAAATGGTACAGTAGAATCTCGATGAAATGTTTACGATTGATGCGAATTTCGTGATGATACGAACTTTAAGGTTGCTTCGGATGGACTACATTATATAAAATACGCCCCATGATTCGGTATTACACGAACGGTTTTCCCAGCAACCGCGTATGATATGAACGTGCAATTGACTGCTGCATGTGAGCAGCACAATGCGGCTTGCCTATGGAAGGAAGGCTCATTGACACTTGGCGTCGAAGGGAGCGAATGTGGCAAAACTCGCTGGAATTTCTCTGTCTTCGCTGCCGGGAAAGTGCCTGGAAAACCATGCCGCGAGGCCGACACGAAAAAAAAAAAATCAATCTGAGACCAATTTGGCCGCCCTGCGATAGCGGATTGCCTTTCAGCTACGGCTTTGGTATCACCAGCTGCACTAGCTCTCAAACCGCGTTATGTAAACAACCAGCCATACATACATTCAGCATCGTGGCAAAGGCGTCGGTGGTGGCTCGCTTCGGCACAGTCGTGAACTACCCGCGCAGCACAGCAAAGCTCATGGCCTGGAAAAAGACGCGTTCGAGAGCCTAGTTTGAATTACGATGACTCCTAACACCGGAAATAGGTGTATCAGCAGCGAGTCGGCATGCCTTAAGGTGTCCCTGCTTTTGCACTGCTGGTGCATCTGCTCGTGTTGTTTCTTCTGACATATCTCCCGGAACGATACTTGTAAAGGTGTAAACTGCTTCTTTTCAGTGCTTTGTATGCATAACTAGAACTCGGTACGGATTTTAATGCTCAGGAATATTTCTTAAGTGGCGAAGACAGAAGCAGTGGCATGCATACGAGGTGCAGAACAAATGTGAACATTTTTGACGGGTGCAGACGTGGTTTTGCAGCCGCTCTGGCGTTTTCGCTTGAATTCTCCATTGTGAATTCTTCAGGACTGATTTTTTTGTGTAGACTTGGCGGTGTGTTTTTTTTTGGCTGCTTAAGCGGCGAAGCGAGTGAATTTTCAATAAGTTTTGCCACTTTCGCTCTCTTTGATGCCAAGTATGAACGCGCCTTATAGCGCCAGCAGCTTGAGTAAGGAAACCTTTTTTGCGAGGTGGTGAAAGCAGGAAAGTTCAAAAGAACATCATCAAGAAGTAGTTGATCCCAATAAAGTTCTTGTTCATCTTCATCATCAGCTTCAACTTTTTTAACTTGTTTTTGGATCATACTAATTCGGGATGATACCAATATTTTGCGTGCTCTCTTCGAATTCGTATCATCAAGATTCATCTGTAGCAGGATTAGACTTTTGGTAGGATGCTACTGATAACCAGTAAAATATGTTAAATCTTGCTATACTTAGGGCATATAAACTTCTATAACAAGCTTCAAAACTTGAAAAATGATGAATCGATGTGAGGGTAGTATATTCATTTAACCTTCAAGCGGGGCTTTGCGGGAAGGCAAAGTTCCCGTGGATAGGTGTATTCACGTCATACCATCTCTCCACTGCAGTGAAACCGTCTTTCCAGGGGGTTACGTGCGATTAAAATAGGCTTAATGATTTATTTCGAATACTTCGAAAATTTAGATAAATAATGTTTGTGTCAGAGCAAATTTGAATACTGTAATGTTCGTTCGAGTATTATAAGTGCTTGAATAGTCATGCATGCCTTGGTTCTTCAGATTTTTGTGCAGAATGGTTGCCCTATTATGTTGCTCTTGTTAAAAACTACGGGGCATTGAGTGTTGTAAAGCATCTTAAAACTTCTCTCTTTGTGTCAAAGCAGTTATTGCTCCTTCAGCATATTTTCATAGATTTTTGCGTGCGGGGTTTCATGTTATACAGGCTGAAGGCTGTTCACTGCAGAAGTTCTTTATTAGCATCAACCTGATCATCTGCGTCATCCTCTCAGTGGTATCAGTCCTGCCTAAAGTTCAAGAAGGTATGCATCTGTTTTGTGTCTCTAGAATTGATGCAAAATTTATCACTTGGCTCTCTGTAGCACTCATGATGTAGAGGTTCTGTCATCAAATACTTCTAAGCTTCGTTGCATGGCTTTGCTTGTTATGTGAGCCATATAAAGCATTATATGCATCTTCTGCCTCTCTTCAAAAGTGACTCTAACTGGTAAAAAAAAGACAGCATACGCGGTATCAACTCTACAGTGCTTTCATAATAGCAATGTCACCATGTTTAGAAAGGGAAGGTTTACGTAAAAAGAAAAAAATGAATACCGAAACCGCAGCCTTATTGTGTTACTGAAAGCATTTGTTTTTTCTGTTTGCTTTTTTTGTCCTTAAGTAAGTTAAATAGCGAAACCAAAGATGACTTGGGCAAGTTAGAAACATTGTCTACTGGAATTGGCCAGTTAGAGAAAATATGCATGAAAATTTGTGGCATCACACTGACATTCAAAATTTGACTCATGCTTCCACTTTGGGATTAATTCTGTAAATTCTGTTTTAGGAATGACCGTGTCATATGTCGTTTTTTCAAGGTCTGTACACTACCACAAAGCAATTATTCCGCCATGGTTTCTTGTGATGTACAAATCATTAGCATGTTCCCATGAGCAGAGCTTAAAAGATTCTTCTTTCAAAGAAGAAGGATAGTTAGTTTTGGGCAGCCAACATAAGTTTTTACTTCTTTCTCTTGCAGTCCAGCCCTCGTCCGGTTTGCTCCAGTCATCGGCCGTCACTCTTTACATAATGTATCTCACCTGGTCGGCCATGAACAACTCTACGAGTGAGTAGCTTATGCCAATATGCAAGTGAGCGAAAATTGAGCTTCGAAATTATTAAGCTTGCATACATTATTGCGGCCTTAAACTTTTGTGAACCCTTACTGTGTGCCTGTCGAGTAGTTGCAGCTAAATTTCAACGTGCGAACAAAGGAGACAAACACGAGGACAATGCTGACATTAACAACTGGCGTTTTATTGAAACTCTCGACAGAATATACAGGTGCGACAATCCACAGTTAAAAACATGTGATCAAAGATTATGTAGACTAAACAAGATTAGAAAGAGTTGTGCACTTGTCACGAAGGTAGTCAATTTCTGTCCGAGACAGCGCAACTGATACAATCTGTGCATTTTATTTTTATGGTGATAGCTTCTACGATAACGCGAACGTCTGTGTCTTTCCTTTTAGCAATCACTTTCGTGCTGTCAAAGCGTGCTTGGCACCCACATGTCCGACCATGGGTTGAAAGTTGGCCTGTAACTGCGCATGCTTTAGTGTTGTTTGCATGTTTCCTGGCACTGTCATTCATGCAGCGTCCCGTCTGCCCTAGGTACGCCGACCCACATGACAGTGGTATGTTGCAGAAATACATATCATGGGGGGGGTGGCCAGAAGGTGATACACAGCATACCACAATGCATACCACTTGCTTGTCAGAGTCTGTTTAAGTTAACATCGGGACTCCTTGGTGTTTGCAATCTCAGAGTATTTAGAAAATTGTTTGTCATGGAGAAAATAAATAAATAAATAATTTGACGAATGAGCACATTGCCAAAGGAAATATATGCTCAAATAGCTTATCTTCAACCTACTTGACTTCATTTTGCAGCAAAGGAAATTGTATTAGTGGCAATTTCACTGCCACGCAGTCTTTCATCATTAGGCTATGAAATTTAGTTGTTTATCCTGCTGAACAATCAAACTAGGTGTTATATCTGATTATCCAGACAACATTATTTGTCAAGTATGGGTTCTAAGCTTGCATTCGGACACATCTAAGCGCACTTTCTGGCTCGCCTGCTCCGTTTCAGGCAAACAGTGCAAGCCATCACTAGGCCTGACTCAGGAAGGAAGCAAGTTTGACACGCAGAGCATCGTCGGCCTCGCGGTCTGGTTCGTCTGCGTTCTCTACTCGAGCATCCGCACTTCATCCAACTCCCAAGTCGGCAAGCTCACCATGTCCGAGAAGATTCTTGTCAAGGAGACTGGGACCAGTAAGTTAGATGTAGTTGTAGCACCTGCTTTGCTGGTCATTCATGGTTTCTCAGATGTTGGAAGCCAGCTTCTGAGCAAGGAATGGACATACTTATCACATTTCAAAAAATTGCAATAGCAGGACTGCATGGAATCTGCGAGCTTCCTTATGCCATTGCCTCTATTATAGTCTCGTGAACAGAAGCATGCATATTCCAAAGACACCTAACTCTTTCTCAGTTATTTTTTCTCATTGGTGAAGTCGATTGTCACTTGGGAAGTTTTAATTTAGTAGTGTGGAAAACATATTGCATACCTTCTCAATGAAAACTAGTTCATTGTTAACCTGAAATTACCATCATTGATAATCATTTGTCCGTGACACTTCAAAACTCAAGTTGTCACCACTGTTGTGAGCTTGTAGCTCATCTTGGAAAATCATTAACTCATGAGGTCAAATTCAGCTTACTTAAGCTCAGCTAAAAATGTAATTTATAGGCGAGTGACTGATTTTATTATGTGGGTTAGAAGACAGTCCGAAAACATGCGTGCTGTGTTGAAATTTTTGCATTACGAACGCCGACCGTGACATTCCATGTCTTTGATTCTGGCAATTGGAAATAAGGATAAGATGGGCAGATACTACTCTCATAAAATGGGGATTTATTACCCATCTTAATGTCCATTATTAGAAAGCTTGGATAGTTCTTTATATGTAGACCGCAACATCTTTCTTTCCTTGCATATAATGTGTTCTTTATTCTGTACTTGTTGCACCGCTTTGTGGCATTCGCACATTATAGGGCTGCTGAAGCATCAACTAACCGCTTTTTAAATTGGTGTTCACATTCCTGCATCTGCTACTGCATGTAAAAGTCGCTTTTAACACGAAGCATTTTATGCCGTGCTTCACCACAGCTACATTGACGTATTTCTGTCACGGATATGACGTAAAATATACATTAAGAGATGGCCAAGAAAAAAAATCTAGAAAGACAGATTCCAGTTCTGTGATTCATACCTGTGATTCCTTTAACTTGAACACACGGGCGCAAACAACTAGGCCACATAAGACACATTCTCCTGCATACCAACGGCGAGATATTTATGCGCACTATTTGCAGTTACCTGTACTCTAAGCTCATTGACTTCAGCGTGTTTTTGTCCGCCATCAGCGAGATGATGCGACAGGCTTGAAGAGCGTGCTTTAAAGATTGTCTGCAATGCACGCGTGCACCTATGTTGTGATGGCAGGGGTTGGTACATCTTGTGGCTCTCGTTGCAAGTTAGAGGGAGCACAAAGGTCACTTTGCTCAATGCAGCACCTGCTTTTTAAAAGCAATGCGCTTCTCACATACAGGCGTTACTACTATAAACAGTTATTAAATAGTGCTTGTCCTGTGTATGTTCTTTCTGTGCATCCCCTCGTATAGAGCAGAGTGTTGCAAGTTTGGAGCTGGTTTTCATGATTTGTATGACATTACTGTTTGTTGCTACATCATTCAATCCTTTGTCCTTGTGATGATACAATGCACAATAAAGGCTCAGCTACTTTTGTGAGGGCACGTTTAACCTTCGTGTTACAGAGATTCCTGTGACAGATGGATCAGCCACATCTTCAAATTAAGTTTTGTAATATTATAATTGAAGTGGAGAAATGGTGCATTGTTTGTTAGACTGTTTTCTCATAATAATAATGGTGCTGATCGTAATGTCGTCGTATTTAGTAGATTAGGTCGCCTGTAAGTGCAGTGTCAAATTTTACTGCAGGCTCAGAAGTTCATAGTTTAAGCAGCTAAACTTGCTTGGTGTGGTTTGTAGGAGAACCTGTAATCAGTGGTTTCGTACTCTTAGCAAAGAGAAACGTTGCCTTAGTGTGTTTGGAATGCAGTGCTGGAAGATATGTATTTATGGTGTGTGAAGTAATATATTTCTAGTTGTATTGCACACATTTTTCTTCTTTCATGCACACCTTCTTGTGGGGGAGAAAGAGGGCAAAGGAGGCAGCCGTTTTTAACTCTTACCAGTACGATGGGGCAAAATACTGATAATAGATAGCACGTTTGCATGCCACCTCACTGATGGCCTGTTCTCTTTTTCTTGTTCCCTTTATCTCTTTTCTACACTCTCACAGAGTCCACCGCACTTGTGGGGAGTGAAGGTAACTGCTCTCGTTTATTTTCCCATTTGCATAGATTGTCTGCCTTCCTTTCTTTCGTCTTTCTCTTCGTTTAGCCTTGCCGTAGCAGGAGGGAGCACTGCATTCCTGTGTGAGATTAACGTGGTGATGAGCTCGATTTTGCATGAACTCTTTGTGGAGAAGCGTCTGGAAACCTATTTTCATTGTGCTCAAGCTGTGCTTGAATGTGCTGAATTATCAATTACACTGCTCAACAAGCTCAATAGCGCATTGCAATAGGTATTGGGAAGACTTGGGCAGAAGGACAATGCATACACCACAGTGTTGTAGCGGCTTCTGACTCAAAGGTCACAAGTTTGATCCCAGTCATGGCAGTTGCATGTCGATGGGGTGGAAATGCTGGAGGGCTGCATGCTGTCAGTGCACATTGAAGAATACCAGATTATTAAAATTCTTGAAGCCCTTCACTACGGTGTCCCTCATAATCATCTTGTTTTTGGACCCAACCAACTGCCATTTGGCTGGTGTTCTAGGCACTGCAGGACATTCTCTTCAAGCAGAGGAAGTGCCTTATACGCAAACAGATTTTTTGATTTTAGTCATGCTCTGGAAGGGCCTTTCAAGTCAACATTGTTACTGTAGATTTCTGTCTTATGGTAAAGCATGCTAAAAGTGTGAATTATAGAAAAATTTTTCTTGGGTGAAAACTTGGAGTGCAGGCTAAAGTAGTGGCGTGTTATACACAAGAAAGTACAACAGGTGCCTCTGTGAAATTTTATGCTTGTCAAGGCGGTTCATATACTGCTTGTCATGTGGCAGGATACCCACACTTCTGCTGTATTAGTTTTGCAGATGTTTCTACGAGCATGCTGTTTGGTAGCATCGTGTTAACACTTGTGTGCGCGTGCATTTTAGATCAATCTTTTTCTATTATTATTTCTTTTTCATCTCGCCTTTCTGTCTCCCCTTACCCCTTTTCAAGTGTAGTGTAGCGAACTGGACATATATCATTTTATTAACCTCCCTGCCTGTCGCATCTAATCTCTCTCTTGCTGTTGCAACATTGCTAGCCACATCTGCTAGGTAGCATCTCAAGTGATGAAGTTCTGCTGTGTACATACATCGCCACTGCGTCGAACATAGTTTGGAGTATGAACCTGCACGCTTGTATATTGTCTCATTCCAAGCATCCTTGTTGTTTGCGCGCACCATTCCTGTTGCAGATGCCAGTGCTGGTGGTGATGCAGAGGCCAAGGTGTGGGATAATGAAGACGACGGGGTGGCCTACAGCTGGTCGTTCTTCCACTTCATGTTTGCACTGGCTTCGCTGTACGTCATGATGACCCTGACCAACTGGTTCCAGTAAGTGTCCTGCCTTAGTGTTGTTAGTCTCTGGTAGCTGACGCTGAAAGATAATTTTATTGATTGCTATGTTGGGTTTAACGTCCCGAAGCCACCATATGATTATGAGAGACGCCCTAGTGGAGAGCTCAGAAATTTCAACCACCTGAAGGGGTTCTTGAACGTGCACCCAAATCTGAGCACACAGGCCTCACAGCACTTTGGCCTCATCGAAAATGCAGCCGCCGCAGCCGGGATGTGATCCCACGACCTGCAGGTCAGCAGCCGAGTACCTTAGCCACTAAACCGAAAGATAATTTTATCATAGCAAGAAACGGTAGCTCGGCATTCGTCTAATGTCATCTGCATGCAAAACGAAAATGCAGTATTACCATATTTTAATATTGAATCTATAGCATGTTTCCAATGTTTGTGAATGGGCAAACAAAAGAGAGACAAGCACAATTTGGCTTTGTAGAATTGGATGTTTTGTCACAAAGCAGTTCTTTTTGTTCTGTAGTCCAATTTTTCTGGCAATAAGATCACATCTGGGTCTGTCCTGACTGCATGCCAGTTGAAGGACTGGTACTTGACAAGTTCACTCTGTGCAGGTTATTTAAAATAGTTTGTGAGCTTGTCTTTGAGAGACCAATATATTATCCCATGTTTGGCCCCTAGAGACATCTAGCTGAAGACTTTCCTTTGCGCTATTTAATGACACAGGCCTTGGGCATGCAAAGAGGATGTAATGCAGCTGTCTCCAGCATGCAAAATGCTTTCCTTCGACGTGAGCTTTCATAATGAAAGTGCACATCAACATTTGCAGATCACACACAGCTGAGCTCAAAACATGCCCCCCATGTGAACTTGCACACAATATGCTTTGTTGCCATTTTGCAACGGCAGCGATACTCCGCATGGCTCCTCTGTCAAAGAGCTGTTGCCAATGCCTTAAATGCTTGTGGGAGATTCCACGAAAGATCGACACGGGTCCAAAAGTTGATATTTCAGATTTCATTGAGTATCTTATATTTCGTGCACCTCTCACCAGGTAGCCCGAAAGTCAACTTCGTTTTATGATTAACGGCATAACTTACGAGAAAAAAGTATCAAACTTCACCAACACGGAGGCACCAATTTTGTCACCTGTCATTTTCGATAATTGCAGATGCTATAAAAAGACAAATATTTTTGTTTCAAGGAAGATATTTTTTACCTGAAATGCATGTCTAATGAAGAATGAATTCATACAGTTTCAAGTTTGTAGACCTTAAGAAAATAGCTTTTAAAAATGTCTAATTTTGCGACAGTTTAAAATAAGTTACGTATTCCCCATTTTTTTCTCCGACAGTAATGCAAGCAGCGTTTTCAAACTTGACACGTTTAAAGGATATAGTGTGTTCATTAGGTAAATAAATTATTGCTGCCGTAGGGCTATTGTAAATTTTTATATATCGCCTAAATGTTCTCATATTAGCAAAAGTGTACTCCACTGAAAGTTGAATAATAAAAAACCCCATCTTCGATTTTTCTTAGTCTCGTAACTAGACAACCGAAGGCCATCATACAGTAACATGAAAAACATGTTGCATTATTCTGTTTTTAGCGACAATATTCGTGGTACAAATCGGAGCTTTTTGAGAATGCGCTGATAAGTTTAGAAATCTAGAAATCGGAACGGAAAAGCGGCAATGAGCTTCAAACGCGAGTAAACGTGACCGCATTTAGTGAAGAAAGGCTGTTTTAGCAGATAGGAGTAAATATTTTGAACACGATATTTTACAGTATCTGAATTCACTCTTATACGTAGAGCACTGAGACTTCTAATATGTGGTGCTACTCCATTACTGACACACAGATGGAGCTGCTGTGACGGCCATGTGTTTGCAACACGTTGGGTAAGAGAAATGAATGTTGGAGTTCATAAACGATTCATAACAAATTTTTATCCTTTGGGGCACGAAGACTGCCGCATTAGACTAAAGAACACGCTTTAGGGCAAGTTGTCATTCGTCGTCTGCTCTACAATTGAATTGCTCTGCGCCGCATCTCGGAGGCAATGCTTTAGATCATATGGTTTAAAGTAGGGACAAAGATTACGCCTCCTGTAATTTTATCGACAAAAACATTGTGAAATTCATTTTAACGTACTATACTTCAGTTTTGCATTCACACTGCGGATACTTGCACACTCTGCTTTACGTTGCTCTAATCAAAGGTGAGAGACATAGGAACAGACGACAGATAGATCACTTTCGTGCTGCTGGTTTCACGCATAGTTGCATTGCCAGTAATTTGAGCCTCAAGGAGCGTGGCGATGGCTAACCACTTCAGCCGGGATAGAGTTTTTTGTTCAGATTACCTGATGTTGCATAAAAAGAAAATACCTTATCAAAGACACTTCTGCAAGGTTGAAGACATCGGCCTGTTTGCCCTCCAGAAGCTTTTGCCGAAAGCTGCCCGCCATGCACATAACAACGACCACGCTTGCCAGAACTGCTTCAGACGCCTCAGAGATATGCTGTCTTCGTCTAATGGCTCCTCAGCTGAAACCGCTGATGAGTTTTTACTGGAAGAAGAAAAAAGGCAGAAGTCAAAAGCGGTGCGTAAACACGCCTGAAGCATTGTCACATATGCGACTGGAGAAGCTGCATGCACAAAATAGCAAAGTTCATGCAGAGCCAAGACAACTTAGCAGCAATTCTACAGTAACCGTGAAATGCCACCGTAACGTGTGTAACCGCCACTTTCAACCATCAGATCTAAAATGCAGTGTGTGTGCCCAGTGGTTCAAGAACTTCAAGCAAGCCTATGAAGCGTGTTCTTCGTATCAAGAGCGCATGCCTTTGTTGACACTGTTGCCAAGCGATATAGAGCGCCCAAAACTTCAAGCGCTTGTACCAAACCTGTCAGCTTACATGATATAGAGATCCCAACGCTGGCGCAAAACACGGGATATGGTTAGCACCAAATGCGGTAAAAAGGACACGACTGAACCCAATGGACGTCCGGGCAGCTTTAGCTTACTACTCCAAACATGAGTATAGCTGCTCTCAGCAGAGTCCCAACAAAAAAGGTGTATCTGTTATCATTGACCGGAAAAAAGGAGCTTGTTTCGAAAAGGTTTATGACCCGTTTGGTGCGAGAGGCTTACCGTCTTTTTAGAGAAGCTAATCCGAACACGTCTATTGGGCTCTCAAAGTTTTATTCACTGAGGCCGAAGTGGGTTCTTCTTGCACCACACCAAGAAGTGTGCCTTTGTATATACTGTGCTAATGCCACGGAGCGTGTTTCTGCCCTACAAGACCTCACCGATGGTGCCTACACGGCGGACTTCTTGAAAGAACTATGTCTTTGCAGCTCCGCTACAAGTGATTGTTTTTTAGGCCATTGTGACTATTGTGCTAAGGAGGACGCTCTGACAGCCACATGTTTAGGAATCCCTGAAGATATTGAGTTAGCCTATGCAGTATGGGAAAATGGCGATCTAGTAAAAAAAACAGCCCAGGCAAGTGCTTTTCTGCGAGAGCTAAGTCTATTGTTCGTGAAGTGGATTACCCATGATTTATGTTACATAAGATACATTCAAGAATCAGCAATAGGCCAGGCGAAAGAGAACCAAGAAAAAAAATCTTGCATTTTTCACTTTGATTTCACCGAAAATTGGACAGCCATTTTACCGAATGAGGTACAGTCGTATCACTGGCACAAAAGACAGGTGTCTATATTCACGTGTGTCGTCACAAGGAAGCAATCAATTCAAAGTTTTCGGCCATCATCAGTGATGACACATGCCATGATGCTGCACATGCCTGTTTTGCTCTACAAATAATGCACAACTATATGAAGGAACAACTTAAGCCTGACACGCATGTTACTTATGTTTCTGATGGTGCATGCAGTCACTTCAAAAACAAGTACCAGTTGTTCGAGTTATGTCAGAAAGATCATATATCAACAAAGTGGATTTTTTCGGCCACAGGACATGGCAAGAACTCTTGTGACTGCGTTGGTGGCCTATTAAAGCATCAGGCTACGCTCTATAACCTCAGAGCGGCAAGCTCAGCTGTGATTATGTCAGCATCCCAAGTGGTGGCGCAAATGAGCGCGAAGCTCAAGAATGTCAAGCTGCTGTGTGCAAATGCAGACAAGCTAGAAACATTCCGTCAGTTTAAGAAGAGTCGGTGGAAATTGTTGCCACGTGTTCCAGGCATACGTTCTTGGCATGTTTGGCTAAGCACATCTGAGGGCACTGATCGTGGTCGTGTTTTGTTAGCGTCACGGACTGCTAAATGTGATCTGCAAAAGATGCAGCCATTTTGAGCGCATCTCTTGTTTCACGCAGTCACCACCAAAATACCAGTGAGGGTACTTCAAGCGCATATGCTTTTTCTAGTGAGACCCAGCACTTGCGTTGGAACAATTTCATGTTAGAGTTTATCTGCAAATATAGACAGATGTTTTGCAACTGAGTTACAGTGTCGAAGATTGGCTCCATTAGAGCTGTGTTATCAGGAGCATAAATGTGCCTTCATGGGTACGTATTCGTCACAGTGCTAAAACAGCCTTTCTTCATCAAATGCGGTCACGTTTACTCGCGCTTGAAGCTCATTGCCGCTTTTCCATTCCGATTTCTAGATTTCTCAACTTATCAGCGCATTCTCGAAAAGCTCTGATTTGTACCAGGAATATTGTCGCTAAAAACAAAATTATGCAACATGTTTTTCTATATTACTGTATGATGGCCTTCGGTTGTCTATTTACGAGATTTTAAGAAAAATCGAAGATTTGGTTTTTTTATTATTCAAATTTCAGTGGAGTACACTTTTGCCAATATGAGAACCTTGAGGCAATATACAAAAATTTACATTTGCCCTACGGCAGCAATAATTTATGTACCTAATGAACACACTATATCCTTAAAACGTGTCAAGTTTGAAAACGCTACTTTCATTACTTTCGGAGAAAAAAAGAAAGGGGAATACGTAACTCATTTTAAACTGTCGCAAAATTAGACATTTTAATAAGCTATTTTCTTAAGGTCTACAAACTTGAAACCCTATGAATTCATTTTTCATTAGACATCCATTTCAGGTAAAAAATATCTTACTTGAAACAGAAATATTTGTCTTTTTATAGCATCTGTAATTATCAAAAATGACAGGTGACAAAATTGGTGCCTCCGTGTTGGTGAAGTATGAAATTTTTTTTTCTCGTAAGTTATGCCGTTAATCATAAAACGAAGTTGACTTTCGGGCTACCTGGTGAGAGGTGCACGAAATGTAAAATACTCAACGAAATCCAAAATATCAACTTTTGAACCCGTGTCAATCTCTCGTGGAATCACCCTTGTGTATTCTCCTAATGCACAGGTAGTTTTTGGGCCCGTTTTATCGAAAAAGCGTGTTTGAGATTTGAGTATATGCAGCTTTCAATGAAGCCAATGGCGAGTGAAACAGGGGAACAGGCTGAAATTGATAAGCTTTAAAGCAATACACACGTTCCTTTTTTCTTTCTTTGCAAAAGTTTCATTTTCTTTCCAGACAGGGACAAATTCGCATGATTTTTCTGTACAAGGGGTGAAGTGAATAGCAGAGCAGTATTTGTGGGGTGCAGCACTGAGTCATGGATTGTGTCAATTATGACATCTCTACAATCAGTTTTATCCCACAGCGCTTCAGAAGGCTTCGGCTGAATCAGCTTGTCAGTGGATAAGGAGTAATGCGATGCATGAGACTGCATCAGCAAATAAGAGAAGCCTGGCTGTGTAAAAACAAAAAACAGTCGAGATATTTAGATACTGAGGAGCTTCACTTTATATTACTGAATTTTGACAGCCATCTTGATTGATTTATAGATAATCCTCTTTTGTTATAATAAAATTTAAACAAAGCATATAATATTATGTGAAGGTACTTGAAAGGTTTGCCATTTGCCAGTACAGGTAGCAATTGCCATATGTTCTTTATTCAAATGAAGCAGCAGCAAACACACCCACACAACTCGGCAGACTGATGAATAGATTGCTCAAATGCAAAAAAAAAAAAAAAAAAAAACGGTATTGCTGGCAATTACTAGATAATGAATGGCCACTACTTCTAAATAATTTATGCAGAATGAACATAATTTTGAAAACATTATAAAAAAGCAATTTTTGGACATTCCTTTTACGAAAATGCTTAATACTCCCAAATAATTTCACTTGTTTCATGTTTGATTAAAATATTTACCTAATGGGATTACCTTGCATATGAGATTTCATTTTTCTGTCTTTATTTTTTGTACCTGCAATATAAATCATGGAGTTGGGTAATATTGTTTTTTATTTCTTGTTATTGCTTATTGTTGCATTTGCTTGTGTTGTTTCGGCTTATATATTTTGAATTACCGTATTTATTCGATTCTACCGCGCCCTCAATTGTAGCGCGCACCCGATTTCTACTGCGAAAAAAAAAAAAACGTAAGACATCTCGCTGGCCCATTTTTCTCGCTGGCCCGCACGATCACACCACTCGAAAAAACGACTCCTTTCGGGAGCGTCTTCCATTTAAATATGAGGTACGGGCGAAGCTTGTGCCCATCTGACGTGTAACAGAGCATTGCCGTCACTGTAGTTTTACCGTGGACCGATGTCAGCATGCGAACTTGCTTCGCCCCCTTCTTCTCGACGGTTGTGGTGCCAGGCATGTCGAAGTAAAGAGGTGTCTGATCGGCATTCCCTATTTGCCCAAGCAGGTAGCCGTTGTTGCGCCGCAAGTTTAGGACGAACCTCTGAAAACTGTGAAGCTTTTCATCGTACTCCTCCGCAAAACTTTTCGCATATGCATGTTCCCCTTCGGAGGGAAAAGCCTTTCCTTTTCATAAAGTTAGTTAGCCAGCACCTGCTCGCTTTAAACTGGCTCCGCATTAGACCTTTTTCTAAGACTAATTGCATAGCCCGCACTTGGAGCAGTTCTGTCGTCACGGGCCGCTGTGCCGCTCGCTGCTCAAGCACATACTCGCCGAGCAGCTCTTTAATTTGCGGAAACCGACCCTGCTGTGGTCCACTGAAGCCTTCGCGTGAATCTTTCCTGTCGACAATCTTCTGCTTTTGTTTCCGCCGGTCCTGCACGCACGTTTCGGGAACTCCGAACGACCGCGATGCGGCCCCATTTCCGTCCGTTTCTGCACACGCGATGACTTTTCTTTTAAAAGCGGCATTGTGGTGCACTCGAGTCTTTGGAGTCGGCCCTTCCACGCCGTCGATGCTAATGCACTACTAGATGACTAACTCCTCAGCACACGTACGAAGTGCCGCACATGGGAAACACATAGGCAGAAATGGCCGACGCGCCATGCCGACGCATGTAGGGGGCGGCCATTTTGGATTTGCCGATGGCAATAGATTGACCATAATTTTTTTGTTCGTACTCGATTCTAACGCGCATGCGATTTATGAACTCGCTTAACCGGAAAAAGGTGCGCGTTAGATTCGAGTAATTACGGTACTGCTTTCTACTGTGTAAAACGTTTGTTTATGCCTTCATTTCGTGCGCCCGTGATACCGCCAAAGCATTTGCTTGTTGTAGGTATACATCGTGTTTTCAAACTATCGAATAATAGCTTTTATCGTTGGCTCTTCACTTATGTTTTGTTTTCATGGTAAAAATAGCTGAATTGAATAGTTCCTTAGTGTTGACAGAGACAAAATTTCAAGTGCTTCTAGGGTCTGGGGATGTTAAATATAGCTGCTGCGATGGTCTTCCAGGCCAAGTGACGACCCCAAGAACCTGATTGAGAACAATGCCTCCATGTGGGTCAAGATGACATCAAGCTGGATGTGCTCTGCTCTCTACCTGTGGACCCTAGTCGCACCACTGGCCCTGCCAGACAGGGACTTCAGCTAAATACGACCTCCTGTCAGGCTGTGTTACATTTTTTTAATTTTAATTATTGTTTCAAAGTCTCGTGCTGCTAGGTAGAAGTTGTACCTTTTGTTGTGTAAAATAGTTGTTCTCGTTTTTCTTCGAAGCAAGGAAAGCTTTTTATGTTTATACAAAAGCCTGTCGAAGCGTTTGAGTTAATTTTTGTGATTGTTGTGTCTAAGGTGCTACGTAATGTGTGTTGGCACCTTTATTTACACATTTCACCTGTACATAAGTTGGTGTCACAGTAAGTGTCAAATATAAACAAGGAACAAACAATCCTAGAGCTTGGTTTTCTCTTACCTTTGCTCCCCTTCTTTCCGAGTTCTTCGGACTTCGTAAAATGCCAACACTATTTGACCTCTTAGTTCTTATGATCTTCATTTCATTTCAACAGTGTGTGTAGTTTTCCTCATTGAAGTTAGAAATGAGTTGTGATTTTGTGTTGAAGCTTCTGTAAGTTCAAGGAAGCACTCTTTGAGACAATATGTACACAACATCTTTAATCTCAGTGCTCCTGTCATCCACCGAATTAAACACAAATGTTCTTACTTTCAGTCAATAAAGTTTGCTGAAACACGTTGCTGTTGCCTGCGATGGTTGAAACACTTTCTGCGATGAATTTAACCTTTATAGCTGCAGCATTGTCTTGTATGCAGGACAGTGCAGTGGAAGGAGGAAATGTTTTGAGCACCAGTTTGAGCATCAAATTGGAATCGCATGATTAGGCAGTCAAGTTTGTACGGCACTAAAACCATATTGGGTGTCTAATAATGGTGGCTGTCCTGTTCCTGTTTCTGGAAGAGAACGGTACCATTTTGTCTAGGCAAGTGATGCTGTGTGCTAATATGTACTTAATGCTGTTATATGGCAACCTCATCTGGCTCATGTATCAAACAAATCAGCTTGACACAGTCATGTTCTTCATTGTGCAATTTAATTGGCATCTTTTCTAAAATAATGCATTTAAATGGCAAAAATGTTGTGAATGACTTCGAAAGGTATAACCTATTTTTTGCTGTACATTTGTCCACCTCAAATAAAGGCTTGCATTCCTAAATGCCAAATATCGCAGCATGTTCATGAATCACTGTAGGAAATTTGAAGATTTTATATTTATGCCATATGTCCTCTTATGTACGTGGAGCGAAATATTTGATTGAGCACTTATTTTCCCACAGTGCATCTCGGTTGTGAAACTTTTGTCAATGATGTTAAAAAGACGGACAACTGACAAGTAGGCTGTTGTTTTTCTTCTTGACTCCTAGGAATGCTACATATCGAGAAAAATGACCGTCGAAAAAATTTATTTCATACCGTCATATGTTGCTTGCTGGTAACTAATAAGTGAGTGTTATAGTAACTGCAGGCTGGAACAGAAATAGAGCCCAAAGTAAGGAGAACCCCCCGTTAGAAGAAATCCCATTTGTTCACTGAAGTTGACCATCGTTAAACTTTTGTGCTAACGATTTTCTGCAATGCATTGAGATTGTGCAAAGCTGCAGCTCGCAGGACTCTCAGATTACAGAACTAGAGTGGAAAACTGGCCCATTTACGGAATCTCGGACTTGTGTTTAGTGAATGCCAATGTTCCACAAACTGACGTATAATTAGAGTCGCTTGTTAGTGTGAGCTTGTCAATTGTTTCCTTTTAATCTTGGCCCTGCGATGTCAAAAGGTGCATACACACGGGGAATCTTTCTATTGTGCAATTGGGGGTGATTGCATTGGCGGCAAAATGGGCGCGTTCGCACTGGAACTTTCGGCCCGCATGACAATATGCCTCATTTGTGGCCAGCCTAGAAAGGAGATGCAACACGAACGCATGCGTGTTTTTTAACCTCTCTAGCCTGTTCATGGCTCACTTTATGCGCCAACCCTCCCCGAATACACCATACCAATGCAACTGCACAGGCAGTGTTCCACGGTGGCTGTGAGTTTGTACACCCTCCCCCTCACATTCCACGTCTTGAGTGGCTGGAAATAGCGATGCTTTTTGTTTCCTGTTGACGAAAGTCAATCTGACTGATTGGCCTGATGTGCGCTTTTCTTGGTAACGTGACATTTTTACAAACTCTGAACTTTTCAGTACGAACGGGGCTGCTGCTAATGCGTTAAACATTTGTTGCAGTATTCTGCCTGTGTCTTATTGTTATGGGCATTAAGACTCCCAGGTGCAAGCTGCATAGAAAGATGCCTGTTCTGGAATGGAAAAAGCACAATGTCATTGTTGATGGGTAGTGTACATACATTTTTGTCTTTCATTTAGACTAACAATGGACCTTTGAGATGCCACCAACCAAACGCTGTCTAAAGCATAGAGTGTCCATATAAACTGTGCATACATGCCTTGGAACTCCCTCTGAAACACGGTCGCACGTAGCAAGTCGTATTGCACTACTATACCATAGTACTACCACTGTGAATAAAAACGAATGTGCATCAATGATTTCTGCAATGGCACACACATAAGCTCTGTCAAAAAAAAAAAAAAAAGTCTACCACAAGGACCATAGAGCAAAAAACAATGGAGAGATCATAGCCATATTCCACACCTGGTTGAGAGTTTCACAGCTTAGTGAACTGCAGCTGTCTCTAAAAGCTAGCAACGAAAGGCACATCAGTAAATAACTTTGTAGTACAAAAGCCTGTCTTTTTTTAGAAAGAGAAAACAAATGCCAAGTGAGTGCCCCAAGCATATTATGCTGAAAACCTGCATGCACATCAGCAGGTGCAAGCAAAGAAAAAGCACATCATATGAACTTTTCCCTGGATGAATAGCACAGCAATATATACATGAGCCATGTGTAGGGAAACCATATGCAAATTCACAAGCCTAATTTTATCTTGAACTAGTTGAATGTACTTGACAGTACACAAATGTGAAGTTGCTTATAGAACTGTGGTCACAAAGAAATGCATACAAGAAAGCTGTCTTTAGCCAATATCAGTGTTGCAACATGACGTAATCCAGAAACGTGCTCTCAATGTGTGAATGGTAACAAACCTTACCATTCCACCATAGCACCTGTCCTGGCTTCTTATTTGTCAGTAGCCGCAGTCGTCTGCTTTCTTGCCACCAACATTGCTGCAGATGCCCAATGAGACTACTTTTCCTGAAGGGCTTTGCAAGAATCCTTTCCCCCTTTGTTTTTTCAGCCAATCCAGTGTTCTACGATATTTTGTGGCCAACTGCTTCTGAATGTCGTTCTTCTCTGTGCTTGTATTCATAGTATTCGCACGTGTGGTCTATAGTTCATATTTTGTGATATTTTCGCATTGCATCAAAAGCAAATGCACTTGATGAGCCTTAGCACCATCTTTGCATTCCATATTGTGCTATAGGCTGCATTAAGTTTCTTGGTGGCAAATCTGCTTTCTCGCTCAGTGAATCTGAATATATTGATTGATAGCACCTACGCTACTCTTTAAGGATAGTCTGTGGACTGACCCTGGTTTGTTTCTGTTTATAATTCCTTTGACTAGACACACCTGGAGGCGCATAACTTCATTGCTTTGGTGGGCATAAAATATTTGCATATATATGGTCAAGAGAGCATCATTTAATGAGCTGAAGTAAGATTTTCAGAAATGAGTGTCGATTGTTAAGTTATTGCACGCTTCAGATTTACGTCGAAATTCTCCATTAGATGGTTCAGTAAAATAAATATGCACTTAATATGAATGGCATTAGCATCGACATAATCATTGTTTATGAACATGCACAGATTTAATATCCACCAAAGTGCTCTTTCCACTAACCAAGAGTATTTGTACTCCATTCTATCTACCTTTGACTCTCGAAGCTTCTATAATAGGGACTAACTGTTTCCACGTGCCCAACATGGCAACCAATGCATGGTGCTGATGTAATTCCACGCAGTTAAGAACACCCACTTTAAGTATGCCTACTGAACAATTTAACAGAAACCCTCAATGGTGCCACGCACAAAAAAAAAAAAACATAAAGCCACATTCTACAAGCTGGTTACATTTCAAAAAGAAAAGCATTGTGAAACGATGGCACCAAGGCAGAGTTTGCGGAGGCCAAACTTCACTGTTAAGTTGTACTACACATATGAAGCAGTGACTTGAGCAAATGAAGATGGACGTGCACAAATGAGCAGCTTGCATATACCCTCGAAGTCCCTGCACAAGTTATTTTTCATTTTTCTGAGCCCTTGTCCGGAGTTACCTTGTGCAGTGTCAAGAAATGTCGTGGTCATGATAATTTGATTTTTCAGACCTTCCCAATTCCTGCTGCCTTGTATTGTAGTACGTGTGGCTGCATTATATTCATGCAAACATGGTAAACAGTCCAACATATATATTTTTTCACGTGTAACCGAGCTGAGCCTACTTTCCTACTCTAGCTTGCAGTGGGTCTATGTCAGAACTTAGTTTTTGTGGTGGTTTTGTGAGAATTGTTACTTGTCGCAGTATGCTCCTATCATTTAGACCACGTAAGGTCTACCACACTGTACGCTTGCATTCGCTTTCCGAAAATTTTATACTTGAACACTATATGGAATAATAGTGCAGGATGAAAAAAAAGAAGAAAAAAGTGTGTATCAAGCTTGTAAGTCGATATTTTTGCAGCATTCTAAGGAAAACGTTGCTCAGCTGTGCGAGTATAGCGTGGTAGACCTGCATTCTCTTGCATTGTGAAACTCTCAGCAGCTGTGGCGCGGCTAGTCTGGACGGAATGTGTATGGACAATGCAGCTTTCCAGCGCAGTCACTCAAGTCTTATTTACAATGACGGCACTCGAGAGAGTTCACATGAGAACGCAGCTTGTCGGGCTGCGCTCGTTGTTGACTTGGGTGATGAAGTTGTGGTCGAGGGCGCATCTGGCGTCCGGCCTGACTGTTAATTAGCACTTCACACGTCGCAGATTCGCACCACAATTGGTCCACCATGTTGATAGGCGCACTGCCACTTTGCGATGATGCGAGCACCAGTGCCTTGCTGAGCTGCCCTGGCAGTGATGAGTCGTGCATGTCGATTTCTGCATTCACTTCTCGCAATGCCTGTGGAATGTGACGCTGTAGTCCCAGAAAAGTTCACCAGCCTTGCTCTTCGGTAAGTTGCACGGCTGCAAACCAAAATAGATATGTGCGAACAACATAAGAAAAGATGCAGGTGGAAAATTTTGCAAGAAGTTTCTCGTAAAATTCGAAGCGCCGACAGGGATGCCTAGGTCAGTTATTCGTACAGCTGCATGTGAACGGCATCGAATTATCAAAACATAAATTGTCATACCGCCCAGCACTTCTCCGCACACAGTGTAATTTTGCAACCACTAAACTCTCCTAGAGCTTTTTAATTTATTTTTTTTGTTATTGACCTCCGCCAGGCATTTCTTCAATCACATCTCTGAAAATATTTATCAACTGTAAGAAAGTAAAATTATTTATAAACTTGCTGACGTCTTGCACATAAGACTGCAATGTCATTTCTTTTTAAAAGAAACTGAAACCTAAGATTTCCTCATGAATGTTATGCAGCGAATGCTTTATGTTAACACAGGTTCTTAGAGTGAACAAGTTCTGTTCAACATTGTGTGTTTAATATCACAAAGCTCATGTGAGAAAAAAAGATTAAGATCTGAGCCAAAGTGCTATGATAAAAAGGTGTGCATCGACCACAGCATATAATGCTAATTTACTTCAAGGAATGTATTTTAGCCACTAGATGAACAATTGTGAAAAAGCACATGAGCAGAAAACAGTCTACGTCAAGATTCATAGCTAATACACAGCATGCAGAGATGATAGGCAGGATAGCATTTACAGGAAAAGTTTTCTAAAAACATCATCATCATGAGCTAGACCAGTGGTTCTCAAATGGGGGTTTGCGGCGAAGCCATTTCCCAGATACGCGACGCCCTCACGTGCTTTTTTCTACATTTTTTTATTATTTTATATATGTAACTCTGTTTAGGAGCGACTGTGCCACGTATTGATGAACTGCTGAAAATGAAGGGGCACGTTTGATGTTTTTGGTAGCAATAAAAGGCAATTGTTTCACGCTCCAGTTGTGTTAATTTACCTATGCACCCCCTTTCCCCCCTTCCAAGAGGTCCCCATCACTTCAACCAGTCCACAAGGGGCCCCCGACACAACTGAGAACCATCGAAGCTAGACTATGCCCAGTGCAGGGCAGGGACTATGTTTCTCCTGCTAACCCAGTCTTGAGCTTGCTGTGATCACATCATACCCACAAGCGTCTTAATCTCATAAGCCCAACTAACTTTCTGCCCTCCTCCTCATGCACATGCGTTCTCTTGAAATGCAGCCTGTTACTTTTAAACATAAACTGTGTGCATTAGAATTAAGTTTTCTTGTTAGCCATGCCTGAAACAAAACTCTTTTTGTATGGTGTGTATAGTATGCCATAGACACTAGCTTGTGCTAGCAAGCTGTCAAGAAGTGCTTGTGTGACAGTGACACACTCAAGAAATTTCTGCTACTCCCGATGTAGCCCCTTATACAAGGAGGAATGAAGGCACCACTTCCATGTGAATTTACATGCCTCGTAATAGTTGTTATGCAAAAGTCTTTGACGAATATCCTAAAAGCACGTGTATTTAGGTAAAAGAATAAATCTGCGATGACTTCATAGACGTCACTGGATTGGAAGTGTCAAGAGAGAGAGAGGAAACTTTATTAGAACTTGGCCGGCAGCTTGGTCTTGGTGGCCTCAGATGGCGGCGCTGAGTCCCTGAACTTTTTTTTTGGGGGGGGGGGGGGGGGGTGGCATTGTTTAGCAGGGATAGTTAAAATCCTCAGAATGGCTAAATACCATATACATTTTGTTTAAACGCGTCACTTACCTGTTCGAAATGCTCCCCTTGCTTGAGAATTCTGAAGTTGTAGCTGCTTTGCAGAAAAAGTCCAATTGGTACTCTCCAAGATGGTGAAGCTTCCTGTAAATGAAAAAAATTAGTGACACGATACTCGATGATGCAGGATTTGACTGCAGGCACATGTATATTTTCATTTCGTGGCTGTCTTGGCAGCGGCTGTGATGAGCTTCGGCCTCGACGGCGCGAACGACTCTGTTTAGGCATTGCAGATTAAAAATTCTGTGGCACCATCTCGCAGTCTCATGCGGCGTTTTGCTTTCTTTTTCGTTCTTTTGCCATCTCCACTTTTGCTTTCATCTTGAACTGTGTTTGTTCTCTACCTTCAGTCCTTTAGTCATGCTTTCAATTCTTCAGGAAGACTCATAGCTCAATTGAATGCTTTCCACACTTTTACTCTATTCAAGATCCTGCAGGCATTTCGAAAGCCTAGCTCACCTCTGCCCAGTGGTTCTTGTCTTGAGGCAAAAACGAAGCCATGGGCCTTGTGTCCAGACCTGGCAAGTGGCGCTGGGCAGGCTATCTGCTTCTCTGGAGGGCTGCAGCTCGCCATTTTGTGTGGGCCTGTAAGGCTGTACGAGACAAAAACAAATTCAGTCAGGTGTGTAAACTATGCATTTGCATTGTAAAGTTCACATACATTTGCTGCTAGTAAGTCGGTCAATCCTAGCCAGTTCTCTTTCCCACTCACATCTGCCTGTGTAGTTAATCATCTTATCAATGCTTGTTATGATTATGTATGTAGCTAACACTTGCAATACTATTGCTCATGAAGCTCTACTGTTGACCAACCCATGCCTAGTACATCTGGCGTCATTGGCTAGGGCTGGCATGACTCACTGTTGTCTTGCACTGATCCAGCACAAACAAAAATTCAGTAGGCTGAACGCAACAGATATTGGTCAAGGACATGTTGGTAATATTTTGCATGGTGTCACGCATAGTCACTTAGTGTGGACATGCCTGCACCCAGAAATGCTTAGCACACAAACATGCCAGATCTCGCATGTCCATGTCTTAGTAGTGTTTTGACTCGGTATACCAGCTTTTACCTTTCTGCTCATGTGCTGGAGACTGCAGCAGATTGACAAATCACTGCCACACAAAGTATTGACACATGTCAAAACACACAGATTGACACTTGTTGAAATTCCACTTGTTTAATGACATTTGCACAAGCATTGTGACCTTACAGGTAGTTAATGTTCCTTTTCAATGTTGTGAATGGATCTACAATGTACCTGAACTGCAGAGTAACATACTGCAGCGGCATGTAGCGTGACAGCGGCACCAGGTAGCTGAACGTAGGCCCAGACCTCAGGACACACTGTAGAGTGTTGCAGTACTCCTGGCCAAGTGTCACATTGAGTTCAAGCAGTCGAAGTGACTGAACGACTGTGTGACCCCCTGGATCAGAATATATGCACACAGTACAGATTATTGACATTTTGGTATTAGAAAATAGAAACACTACTGCAAAAGTAATACAGAAAGAATATAATGCACAGCTATTATTATTATTATTATTATTATTATTATTATTATTATTATTATTATTATTATTATTATTATTATTTCGAGAAAAGCTGCCCATGTGATATTTTAGCTTTAAGAACCTTACTGAAGAATAGTATTGTCACATGTTGCCTATGGAATCCTCCTACTAACATTGCAATTGCAAATACATTGCTCATGAAGCTCTACCTTGACCAACCTATGCCTAGTACATCTGGCGTCATTAGCTAGGGTTAGATAAATCTCCTTAGATAAATCTGCCCTTTGTAGCCAAATGTAAATGACACAGCTCACACGATAGAAGTTTAGATTCCACCACCAATACATTTACTAATATCCAGTAACAGTTTGCTACATTTATGTTTACGAAATACACCAGCTTAGCTTAAAAAGTGTGAAATATAACTGTCTCTTTCGTGTGCAGCTGTGCCCAGCAGCCTGAAGCATTCACCACAAGTGTCTCATCTGTGTGCGTGCAGATACTTTTCGCATCCTGTGACACTTTCATGATGTGGGACAAAAATAAAGTGTGTGCACAAAGCCTGAAGAGAATTGACGACAGTCTGCAGTTAACGTTGGAGACTGCACTCATAGTGTTTTCAATTGCAATGTCCAGTGTTATTGAATGTCTGTACTTATATGAAGTTGATGCTGGAATCAATGAAACAACTGCAACCGCAATGGTTGAAGATTTTTTTAAAACTGTCTCCTATACCCTAACAATGCTATGATTGCTGCCACTAAAGACAATGTTCCTTGATTGCCCAAAACAATGAAAATGTCACTAGGAATGGCTACCCCACAATATGCACGTCACTGAAGTCCTAGCATTATTTGTGAAACCGAATCGCAACGCTGGTGCAAGGTTGTCGTACTGTTGAAATTGTTTCTTTATGTGTATCAAGTGTTTTCTTTAGGGAAGCATTGGTGCATTTTCCAGCTAAATAATAACCATTATGTGTAATATTTGTTAGAAAGCAAAGAAACTTGACAGGAAGCCAAGGATAGCTCACTGAGTGATGAAACAGATAATGTAATGTTGATAGACAGAAAGGCAGCAGCGTAAATTCCAGATCACAGGCAAATGATATTATTGATTTGAAGACGATTACCTCACATGGTGCCAGAATAAATATGCCACTAGAGCAGATGTATGTTTTCATTCCACAACTAAGCAATGTACTCGATAATAGCAAAAAAAAAATTACATAATGAAAGATGACTGGCATAATTGTTTCCGAGTACAATTGCAGTAACACATGCACCACTCAGGTGTCCAGATGTATGCAAAAAAATAAAAAGCCAGCAGTACGATGGATATATACGATTCCACAGACCTTTCCTGCCGTTCAAGGCCTTAGAACGACGATGGGAGGAAGCCAGTGCATCGATACTGTCGGCACCGTTGTCCGTGTGATCAGCACGCTTCACCTCTGCGTCCTGGACACGGTCAGTCTCCACAACTGTTGCCAGAGAGCCCAGCTCGAGCGAAGGCTGCGTGGGTGGCACCAGGGCAGTGGGCACCACACCCAGCTTGCCCCACTGGGCACTGTTGTCTTGCACGTCCACAAACACCCGTCCACTGCCCGTGTCAGCCAAGTGGTCCAACAAGGGCTGGTCATCCAGCGGCTGTTTTGCCTTAGGACAGGTCCGGCGAGTCTGGTACACTGTTGTTAGACTTGTCTGCTGCGAGCAATACTTGTGTATTGGAAACATTTTTCTGTGCAATTGTTACATCAACTGCGAAATGCGATTTGCCTTATGCTTAGGCATCTTTCCAGCACCATGCACTACCGACAGAAAAAAAAAAAAAAGAGATCATGAACCCGTTTTATTTTCCTCTGTCAATTGAAGCGCTGAATAACCATGTCTCAAAGTTAAAGAATCTTTCCTGACCTTGTGGTTGCTTTGAGCATGTTGCATATTTTACACCTAAGAAAGGTCACTTACATGCATGTCAAGCAGACAATTTAAGTGTGCTTATGTGGAGTGCACTTCAGTCAAATTGCGCTCTATCAAATCTAAATTGTACAAGCTGAGTCTAGCTTGTAAAAGAGCATACTTGGGTTGGATTGCATTGCCTAAATGCACTTCGCTGTATTTTTTGGTGAGGAAGAAAACACTTTGTTTGCATAATCATGATTCAATGTAAAACAATCATATTTGTGAAAATTTTTATTTAAATCTTCAAAAGACGTGCTCGCGGTCTGTCATATTTCTTTACTACTAGTGCGCTTTGTTTTCCTGTTTAACACCCTGAAGGGTAACAACCTGTTTTACCCTGAAGTGTCATTCAGCGTTTTGAAGTGTACTCCTCATAAGAGCTTTTAAATCAATTGCCTGCTTAATGCAGACAACTGATTTAAAATTGATAATATGATATGCTATCTGCTTGGTTTGACTGTGTGTGTTGGACTTCACATATTTATTGCACTACTAAATACCAAGTCCATTAATTTCTGCTTTTCTTCGAGTGTTCCTTGTATCTGACTACTTCACTGACCGCTGTCGCTAAGGGGCTGCAGCGTTGCGCCGATATGCACAAGAAAGAAGGTTTTATTCCCTGCCACGACAGCTGCATTTCAATGGGGGTGAAATGAGAAGACACCCACGTGCTTATATTTAGGCATATGTTTATTGAAGAAATACTACAGTTAACTGAATTCAGTATAGAGTCCCCCACAATGGCATGCCTCATAATCATGCCTTATGCTGTATTCGGGTGGTCGTTTTAGAGCGCTCTAGAGCACTCCGGAAAGCGACTCCATGTTCGGGTGGTCGAAATCGAGCGCTATACGTATGTTCGGTTGGTCGTCTCAGAGCGTCGTACTTCACTCCGAGCGCCTCCGACTGCTCCGGCTCAAGTTGGAGTGCCGCCGAAATCTGGAGGCGATCGGGTCACGTGACCGCCCCGGTCGCCGCGGCTCGCCCCGCTCGCCTGCCCAGTCGGTGGCGTTCGCTGAGGCCTAACCGGCGTTTAGTTGTGGGAGTGTTTCGACGATTTTGCTTCTCGTGCTATTCTCCACATCATGTCGAAACGGAGACGCCTATTGAGTGTAGGGGAACCGTCTCTGCTACTTCTGCAGCTCGAAGTAGACGCCGAGGAGGTCAGCGGCTCAGACGACGACGACTCGCACGTTTACGCAACGAAGTTCGCCGAACTGTTCGCCGAACCACTTCCAGTATTCAAAGTGCAGGAATACGTTCGCAAGGTTGTGCACACCTATTCTGAAAAGCAGGTAAGCTGAAAATCAAATTAATGTGTCGAGGTCTGTTGAGACACCTGGGCCGGCCTGGCTGTTTGCAGTTGCCGTTTTGGCCACGCCGCGGCGCCACGGTCGCATGCTACTCCAAAATCGGGTACGCGTTCGGTTGGGGAGCGGTGACTCTTGCTCGGAGTGGGGGAAGCGGCGCATCGGCGTACTCCGAGTCGGAGTATCAGAGCGACCACCCGAATACAGCATCAGTTATAACATCTAAACCTGCAAAACTTGACTTTAGTTTTGCTAATTTGAGCCGCAATCGGCAAACAAATTGAGCTAGCAATGAAGCATGGAATAAGAGGTGACAAATGCATCATAGCTGCACACTATTGCCAATATGTATGAATGCACATTAAATAGAGTGATCAGTGATCGTCACATAAGCAGTTTGGCATATATTATGAGGATAGTTGGTGTGGTTTTAATAAAAAGGGATAAATGCATCCGAGTCGTTTTCGGTTTTACAAAGAGTGCCTGCACACCGAGTTTTTAAATTTTTCAGCACCTCACAGTTCAGAAAGCTTTGTCTTGAACAGAAGTGTGATTACAACATAATGTAGTAGCATCTTTCATTACCTGATGACCTGGATGCCTCGGTAGAAGCAACAACTGCAGGCCCCACCCTTTGAGCATTGGTGTCTTGAGATTCGGGAATGGCAGCCACACAGCAGTGGGCAGTACATGATGCAAGCACACCATCCAAGCAATCAGGTGGTGTACCAATCACCTGCATCAAGTGCAGCAGTCAGCCTGGTGTGTCGCTACGAAGTGTATAATGCCGATAACATATTTGGTGCAAATGAAAATTGAGCCAATCTTTGAACCAGCCTCCACGTGTCTCTCGTTAATTTTTTCCCCCTTTTTTATCTCTTAGTTTTCAAGTAAGCGCTGTGTATATGTGCTTCTACAAAGCTAAAATATGTGACGAGATAAACTAGAGTAATTTCTGGGAGGTCACCCTTGATTTTACTCATTTTATCATTCCAAGTCTGACTACCTGGCAATGGTAACCTAATTAGTCACCCAAATTCACTGTTATTTTTCATGTGCATGAGCATACCCAATTTGGCTGGGTAGCCATATGTGCTTGCAATGCTATATTAGCAGAACCGAATTGTCTCTTTTATGTATGTGTGAACCTATATGTATAATTTACACAAGTTATCTGTCTGTACGTACCTACTCTCTGTGATTGCCTGTATGGCAAAAGGCAGCTACAACTACCTACTCAGTGTTATATTATTTTACTGCTACTTCTTCTAATTCATAAAAAGGAAGGGTCTAAATCTAAGAGACTGAATTAAATACAGCCATACGGTGATACTGAACCTATTGTCACTAAAGATGTGAGACTTCATGGTGAGAATGCAGATGCCAGAAATCTGAGAAAAGGTTTAATAATAATAGTGCTTTAGTGTGTCACCGCCGCTGTTTTATGATAACTGGTCAAGCATTGCTTGTTAAACATAAGTGGTAAATGATATTTAACCAACAATAATAACATTTCCTATTTATGTCATTTCCAATGGTGGATGCAGCCCTATCCTGTAGTTATATCAGCATATTAATTTTATTTTTAATTAAATCTACCATCTCTACAGAAGGTAGGGATTTCTATATTTCTGAGCACTCACCCGTGATGTTTTCTTTATTTTTCTAAACTTACCCCCCCCGTATCCAGAAACCCTCCTTGACGTGAACTTCACTTGAAACCGTCTTCAATGCAGCACGTTTGAAATGCGTGTGTGCGTTTGTACTGCCTTGGCACAGCCTAAAAACAGCGCATTCGAAACGAGTTTGTGCTGCATTGAAGTCGTTGGCAAGCCAAGTTCAAGTCAAGCGGCGGGTTCGCGTCTGCACTTCCTGTTCTTTTCAACTAATAGATGAGACGATGGTGCAAGTTCACAACATAATTACAATGCTTCTTAATTTCAGCAAAGCATGCCTAATTTCAAAACTTCATTGTTTAAGAGATACTCTAGCTGTTTGTCATTATCTTGCCAAGTTAAACCTTCTTAAAATATAGGTGAATCAAACTTGAAAGCAATAGATTTCTAAATTCATGACAAAACATCTGTTTTATTGTTGTTATTTTTCTTCTAGGAAGCATGCAAAACAGGCTGGCCTTGCCTTGGGCTGCAGAATGGGCACAGAAGTTGTGGCCAAGGGAGGTGTAGGCGTTGTCGGCGACTGAGTCCACCGTGTTGCTGAGCCAGCAGCATTCGGAGGTATCGGCACGGAATTGCTTGAGTCTGTTCCTTTCCGTCTCGTGGCAGGTGGCAGTTTGGACTCTGGTAAAAGAAATGAACATGTACAGAGCAGATGTGAGCATTTCTGTCAGCTGTCTAAGGTCCGAAACATGTCTTTTACATGCTCTCAAGAATGACAGAATAAAAGATTAACCCGTAATGTTATACTATAAAGGCCAAAAATGAACAATAAGAAAGATGTAGCAAGAGAATAAGCAAGCCAGAAAAAAAGAAAATAATAATAAGAAGTAGGATTCCATTACAACTAAGTGGCAGTGCATAAAGAGTATGAAAAGGTGGCTGATGAAGATTGAACAATATAAAGATAAGTTATAAGAAGGAAGAAGATAAGAAACTGAGAGCACCCTGTTTCTGGTGTGGTCCGCCAAAAATTGCAGTCGTGGTAGCTCTAATACTAAATATGACCTGATTCTCGGACACTGAAAACATTAAAATGCTAAAAGTGTTAATGTTACCAAAGATGCCCATTATATAGCATGCCTGTACACCATCAAGAGCTTAGAATAAAAGTTGGTATGCATTCTGGGTTTTCTGTTGCATATCGGTGAAAACTGGTCTTGGGAGCAAATTGACTGCATAACCTCTCTTTGCTCTGTCTACTTGCAACTAAATAAGATGCAGTGGAAAAATGCTGGTACCACTTAAAGTACACACTATAGCACAGAAAGAAACCACTGGACACTCTATCTTAGTTGTTATCGACACTATTTCAAATGCTTGTTTAAAAAAAAGTTCAGTGCACATATTAGCTTACCATTTTCATCATGCTGAAGCTTGGTCGAGTCTGCTGGGTCCTTGTATTTAGTTGCATTGTCAACAGAGTTGCTGTGCCCTTTTGTACCCTGCTCTGCTTGGCTGCTGCTGTTTATAGGCACTCTAAAATTTTATGCAAGAAACATAACCTCAGTTAAGCAAGTTTAAGCAAAGCACATTGTGACTCGAGGGGCTCTATCTACGGCTGCGAAGTGCCATGACACAACGCCGCAACAAAAGCGCAAGCCACCCGGCCACTGGTTAACCAATGATGCATGCAGAATGCGCCAAGAGGGACTTCATTGCGCATTTAAGTTCTAAAGCTACTCTCACAGTTCTCTACGGCCATACGGTGCCAGTTATACAAACAAAGGACTAAGTACATCAGCAGGATGCACTAGTGTGAGCAGCTTACGGGTGACTTTGAGTCTACAATTTCTCCTGATTTGCTCGGTTCAAAGTGCCACAAGATTTTGCAATGTGATGTCGTATGTACAAATTAACCGTGAAAGAGTCAGCAGTCTTCATTCTGATTGCAGTACAAACACGTCATGCTGCTTCTAATTGTGATTTGAGTTTGGTCACACCGTTATTAACATCCCCATTGGAGAGTTTATGTACTGTTCATGGGCTGAAAGCTGTGACGTGTTGTTTTTCAGTATCACTGTGGTGTTTATTTTTTCCCATGACAGCCGTGCATTGCTTATGAACATGCGTTGCATTCAATCATGCTTCTATTACATATATGTATAATAAACTACGGGTACTTTATAACTCCTTAGGAGGCTAGTGTGCTCAAATATTATAATATAAACATAATATATTGCATATGAGTGTAACAATAACAGCAAGCAAGCATTGTGCTAGGACCTCTGAAAATCCGTGCCACTACGTCTGAGGGTCTTTATTGTTCAAGAAATAGTGCGTATAGTGTTGAAGTACTTACACATGACGATTGATTGAACTATTCGCTACCAGATCATTTCTTCGCTGCCATTCGAGAATGTACAATGATGCCATGGCAGCCAGGACTGAAAATAATGGATGAATTACAAATGGTCAAGAATAAACATGAAGGTATGAAGAACAAGAATATTGTCTGAGGCAGTGCTACAAAAGGATTTCAGCACAGGCTTCAACAAGTTCACATTAGATAATGCATGCACTTGCGGTATACTACATGCAATATTTAACAGCTCATGAACTTGTTGGACGACTGCCTTATCTTTACACAGAATTCAAGTGCTTGTTTAGGCACACCTATAAATCTTAAAGTGAATGTGATAAAAATGTCAAAGTTTTACCATTAGGATGAAGCTATGAATGCGATGGCAAGAAATTAGAATATCACATTAGGAACGACAAGCAACTCGATACTTTCAGCACACCACTTCAGCACAAACAGGGACGCTCGAAAACAATGCATAGGTATACACAAGTGTGAACTAACAACTGTCATAGTTATTACGTGTTTGTGTTTATGCACTGTAAATGTCCACAATGCAGAAGCCAGCACTATTTAATATTTCTTCTTCTGTCAACCTGCTGCACGTGTATTGACCCCTCTGCGCCTCCTGCCACACAGCGGTGTCTAGTGCCAAGTGTACCCCGTGATCTTTTTTTTTTTTTTTTGTCTTCTACATCACAAGTGGTACAGAAAGGGGCACCTTATCGTGCACACCTCAAGGGCAGTTTTCCACTTGAAAAAAAAAAATCTTAAAGCGTTGGTGACAGAAAATATGCTCAAGCTGTTCCGAGACCTGTGCACTGTGGTAAATTTTGCATACGAATACTTCGCCATTATATCACTGGCACAAGCATATTGCATAGTTGTGTTGGCTAGCGCAGCGGGTTGTGGAGTGAGGGGTCACTGGTGTCAGTCGCTGTTATGCTGCTTTAGAATTTTTTTCTACTGATTTATTTTTTATGCCTTTTCTAACATATATATGTACACATACATATCCGAGACATGACAGGTGACAGCAAAAATAAGCCGAGAGTGTCCATATAATTGCTATCGCAAAAATAATGAAGGCTATGAAAAAATTCAAAGTTGTCTTTTGACTAGGCTACTATAACTAATTACATGTCAGTTACATACGAGACTTACAAGCAAAATGTTTATTCACAGAAAACAAATTTGTCTTTCTCTGCTAAAAGGGTGAATCACTAACAATGGCAGCAATATTTGGCAATTTTGTGCTTGAACTTCTTTGATCATTATGCAGCCACAACATGTCTTATGACAGCTGTTCAAACCAAAAGGGGGCATTACATGTAGGCACCATGCAGAATGTAAGAACACTACTACTGGGCTGACGAAACATTGCCTTGTATCGTAAAACTTGTGCGATACACACAAACAGTGTTGTTGCAAGCATCACACATCAGTGGTAAACACAATAAGATTGACTGTAAGTTAACTGCTTGCACAGTGTGGGGTCAGTGCTAGACTAGGTAGTGTTTATATGTAGTAAAGATAGATGAGATGACTCTACGAAGAAGTTTGCCACTCACCAGAATGCCATGACAAGTATAAGAATGGTAATGGTCCCTTGAACAAGCTTATTGCTGCAGAAGGGCTTTTCATTTTTCTTTTTGCTCCTCAATGCATTCCTCCTAGAGGGGAAAGAGCTGCGACTGTTGGCAGAAAAGCAATCATAAAATGAGTGTTTAAGCTAATTTATAACACCTAATGCCACTAAAAGCATCAAACTATGCATGCTTCACGTGCATAAAATGGTTACACTGAGCTAATATTAACGTAAGAAAAGGTGTAACATCTTAATGTTCAAATGGAGTCAGTTTTCAATGCCGAAATTGTTCTCATTGACATGCAGTGTCATGATACAGAACAAACTTTGTTAACATCACATAATGCTGTGGCTAGGTACAAGAAAAGTGCTCAGAGAAAAATTAATTAGAGTGCTTAATGAATTCCTTCAAGCTGCAGTTTTGTGCAACAGCTGCAGTAATAACGAGAATAAAGCACGACATCAATAACATTATAACACATTCACCTTCTGGGTATCAATTTAAGATAACTAATAGGAACAAGTACTATAAAAAATAATTTAAATTATTTAGAATTTTACGGTGTTTATCACTATTCTTTCTAAGGTATAACAAACTTGGACTCTTTTCAATAGGTGGATAGTTAAAAGTATAATGCCTGCACTCGTAAAATTTTATGTGATGGAATAGTTGAATACAGACATTAATGAGAAGTGCTTGCCCTAGAGCCAGCCTTGTGAATATAAAATGCACTAACATATTTTCCATTTTGTAGATCAAGAATCAAGATTATGACTAACTTACGCTTAAGGATACCTAGGCTAACAAGATGACTGTGTAATGTCTGGAGAAAAAAAAAGATATCTCAAGATTATTTAGCATTGTGGTCCAAATAAGCTAGAAGTTTTCGGTTTCTGTTCTAGTCAATGATAAAAATACTATATAATAAGCCTGTGGGCACGTTGCCTAATACACAAATCAGTAACTCTCATCTGAAAATGTCTGGCAGATGCATCACTAATTCTGTTTCTATATTAAACTCACCTGATGACTGTGCTGTTACTACTGGAACAGGACCTGACACTGTCAACGCGCTTAATTTTGTTGAGCGCACGATTCATCTTCTCCAGCTCGTCAATTCGAGTCCCGAGGCTGTCAGTCACCTTGCAGAGTTCCTTGACAGCCCCAACATTTTCCATGAAAATGCGCTCCTGTAAAATTAACAACATAGAGGACAAGATTGACAGGATATTCAGGTAGCCGCTGACAGGCTATTCAGGCAGACAGGCTATTCAGGGAAAGGAGTACTACTGGCTGCATAACCAATCTACTATTTAGCATACTGTAACCAACGAATAAATCTAAAGCTTGTAAAGAAATCACATGTGACCCAAAAATCATTACATTATACCTGATGTAAACATATATCAATACACTGTAATGACAATGAGAAAATATCTTATTTGCTTTCTCATATCTATAAATTTTCCTATTTTCAAAGAAATTAATATGTCACAAAAGACATGATAATACATTGTTCCTAACATATGACATGGCAAAGGGGAATAAGCTTAGTAAAATCAGCAGTACTCTGCAAAGTTTTAGTTGTGATGCTAACTTTCATTCTAAAACATTAGAGAAACAAACTTTGTTATTATGAACATGGATATAAAGAATACTCAAATAAAACAGACAGCTTTTAGACGAAAGAACACAGATAAGAAAGTTGACAATAGCATAAATGAGAGCACAGATCGTGTAGGCAAGAAATAACTAGAATGAGAGAATAGCAAATTCGATATTCGAAGTAAGTTCGAAGAATAATTTTGAATAGTACATGTCGAATGATATACACCCCATATTATAAAAAAAATTCATTTTTGTCATGACCCAATTAACTTGCTCAACAATTTTTTTAGGCTTTGGAACTGAGAATGTGTGAGCGTGACTTTTTTTTTTATTCAGAGAGAACTGAAAGCAACTTTGAATAGCAAGAATTGAATAGCAGAAGCTACAAGCTATAAGCACTAAAACACATTACGTTTAGGATTTACTACACTTAGCAGATATCAGCCCATATGAAAAGCTTTCAAACTTAAAAAAAATAAATTGAGCCGCATATAATGTGTGGCTTTGAGGCAATGCAGGTTTTCTTTGGATAGTATCTAGCTCCACAGAATAGATTTTCCGCATTTCAGTGAAATTATTTTTAAGGGGGATTGCAAGATAAGTGTAATCCCCCTGTGTACAGTGGAATTACAGGGGGATTACAAAGTAAATGTAATCAAATATGTGTTCTATTCATTCATTCAAGTATTTAAAAGTTTTAAGACTGTAAATTTGAGTTGAAACGAATTGGAATACTGTGACATCTGAGTATTAGAAGCGTGTGAGTACGCGATCATGTCTAGCAACAACGCCTCACCTTGTTGACGACCAGGAAGCCCTCAATACAGTCACCGTTGCCGAGTAGCACATCACCGCCATCATGCACAGCATCGGGAAGGATCTGCTTCACTTCTTGCGCCAACACACCGGTGTCCGTCGCATCTTTGAGGCCTGCGTGCTCCACGTACTCGGGTATGTAGCGGTAGCGATAGATGCGCATGTTTGCCACATTCTTGAGTTGCTCCCTGGTGTCGAGCTGGAAGTGAAATGAGGTAATGCGAAATGGTGACACGACGAACTCACTACAATGGTCGCAAAATGTCGGGATTTGCTGTGATGTTCTTGATTACTGTACTTGCATTTCTGATAATGCTTCTTTTCAAAGCTATATATCTGTACTGCTAAAGCTAAATGGCTTAATTTTACAGGTATCTATAAGATAATACACAAATAGGAACTTTTTATGCAAGCAGCTATATTACTGCCACGCAGAGCTGGCCTATCCTCAGCTTTGATTTATTTGTCAGAGAAGAGCTCTCCAAGAAATTAACTTGCGTCATTTAAACGCATGTGATACTGCCAATATGTACGTGGCGTTTTTTCACACTGCAACAAAAATGGCCATTTTACACAGCTTGGATTACCATTTAATTAATACACTGCCACGAAATTCATAGTATATGCTGTGCGCATATAGTTGGTCATGGCAGATGAATGACAACTACATAAGCAATAACACGTTGGGTCCACAGGAGACAGCTTACCTCAACCACATCTGACTTTGCCCGTTCATCGGATGGCTGAATGAGATGGCCTGAAAGCAATATATTTCCATTGACAACAAGCTTCTCGTCGGTTCTTTCAGTGTTTATTCCAACGGGGCCCTGCAACAATGAAATTCACTCACTCTGTAATGGGAATCGGCCAAATATAGCATGCATCTGTACATCTTCTGTCTTCATGGTTAAACACTGAATTAAGTAATTCTGTACTGTCTTTAATTCTGCATTCTCTGTTATATCATTTGCATTGGCATGTAACCTTAAGTACTTCAGTGCGAGAGAGAGAGGGAAAATCAAGAGAGGCAGGAAGCTTAAACATAAAATTGAAAGCTTGTTTATGTGGCAAAGATGAACTTTCTAAAATTATTTTTTTCCTTAACGAGATCTTGGGAATCATGATTATTTTAAGCCCGTCGGTGGTGTTTTCCTGGGGACCCTAGACATTGATCACTTTCTAATTTTCAACAGCTATCTTGTGCTTTTTAAAAGCGTTCTTAACTCATTTACATGTTAAATTCAACCTTGATTCTTTTTGTCATGAAAGTAGAAAAATTCAACTTTACAAAACTGGTAAAAACGAAAAATGGTTAGTTTCTGAAAAAAAAAAAACTCATAATTTTCAAATAGCACTTCCCCTTAACCAGGTGAACGAACGATTGTTGTGCAGAGGAAAAGGCACAACAGACTGAAAGTAAGATGACGAAGATTAAAGCAAAAAGAAAGAAAACTTGTGATTGCAATGTGCACACAAAGAATCGATAGGTGTTTTCTCATGTCTGTCAAATTTAGGATCATAGTTGAAGCGTGCATAGGCTTTCTGGTTTGATGACTGGCGAGGCCATGCACCTTGCATGTTTACGTTTCTGTTGCTCGAATGACACCAGCTCTATCGCATAAGCGAAAGATGAAGACCTACCATATGGTAAATGGCATCATGTGTTGATCCCTTTTGCCAGGTCAGCTCCATGTCACTTTCAAATTGGCCAGGATTCGAGGCCTGCAATGCATTTGGTTGATGCCATTCACTGTCTGTCAGTCATTATTATGCAAAAGTAAATAAGTAGCAAAATTTTTAGTAACGTAAACCACCGCAATAATTGAACTCAGGCTAGTGCTATCAGGGTTGTAATAGTTTCTGCAATGCACATGCAACACAATGAAACTGCATGCTGTGAATATGGCTGTAGGCAAAGAATCACAATAAAGAAAAAGTATGATTAGTTCGTAACTTCAGCAGTAGGTATGATTGAACTTACCCGTACGATAATTTTTTGGGAGGACTGTGCTGCAATAGTGTAGACAGCGTCACCGCAGTGAGCACATAAGCTGACCACCAGGTAAAAATAGCGCTGGTCAGGGTTCGGCTTTCCTTTCTTGCGCATGTTGTTGGATGTCGTTTCGCTAAAGTGTAGTCGCCCTATTGTGTGCTTGACGGCCTGGTTGTTGCTCAAGTCAACCCTGCAGTAGCACAAACAGCACAAGCGTTATTAAGTGTGTTTTCATCCAAAAGCGTTTAGAATAATACTATGCTGTTTCATGCTAACTGTTAGTAAATAGTGCAATATTTTCATGAGGAAGCATAAAAGAAAAAAAAAAAAGAAATGTGATTTGTCGGAAGTCGAACCAGCAATCCCTCACTCCACAGCACATGGTGCAGGTCGACTCCGCCACAAGGTGTACGTTTTTGGGCTTTCTAACAGCGAGATATTTATATACACCATTTACCATAGGTGGTGCTCAGAGCTCAATTCCTTTGGCGTGTTCTTATTATCATTAGTAAGATGGTGTGTAAGGCACGAAGGGCACCCTTCAAACGGGTGGTGCCATCAAATTTCGAGACCGAAACAAACCTCTTGGGGTTTCCTGTATGCTAGGACACTCCGCATAACAAGCACATCCAGAACTGACGTGGCTCTGTAGGAAGGGCAACGAAAGTTGCAGTGACATCACACTAGATCTGTAGTGAGTGTAGGCCTGCACAGGTTTCCCCTTCAGGGGCCACCACGCTTCATCACAGCGCTGCTCCCTCCCTTCCTATTATGTCAATGTATGGGACTGACTTCGTCCCCTCTCCCCCTGAGTTGCAGCACCCCCTCTCTATTATGTCAATGTGTGGAGCTGACTGTGGGCACTGCTGCTCACACGCAAAGAAGTACCAATTGTGGCACTTGTTAGTTCACGCTCGTTCTGTGTATGTTATTTTCGTACATCTTTTCTACTTTGAGGAGTGCGCTGAAAGTTTTAAGCTGCTTGCCATTATTTGCGTGACATAACAGTTTGTTACTGCAGCATTCATTCATTTGCCCTTGTAGCAAAACAGTGTACAATAAGCACCTGACTACCTCTGTGAAGACACTTTTCGCTTTCATGTTATACCAAGTCCTATGAAAGAGGGGTTTACGCTTCTTTACTTCCTGCGTCCGTCCGATTGTCCGCACAACGTTACATACCACAGACATGCACCAACTCGCTTAGCAAGAAGTTCTTCTTAAATAAAAAGGGGTCAGTTATGTTTTTTAGGACCAAATTATAACCGTTAAAAAAAGCTGAATCTAACATAATAAAGATAGGTTAACAAATTGCTATTCACAGCTAAACCGATTCTGAGAATTCTCACAATGAGCGTACGTTTTTCAAAACTGATGGTTCCTGGCTTGCCGTTCAGTGACAGCAAGATCGGGCTCAGTCGGTGCCTAAAAGCATGCAACCTGGTATTTGTGAGATTTAGTGGCCCCCATTCTTTTGTGGTATTAATTGGTATCCAAGCATTCACTACAAAACAGGCTGTTAATTGTCTACAGCAGAGATACTCCAACTGCCTCTCGAGAGAGATGCTCCAACTACCATACAAATTCCTCAGCAAACACCACCATACTTCTGTGAATGAGTGAAGTGGATCATTCAGAAAAAAAAATATAAGAGATGCTGTACTGCACAAAGCACATTATGATGAAAACTATAATCCAGGCCTAAGCATGCCATCACTATGGCCTAGAGCTATCCATGGGCACTTTTAAAAAATGAATTAGTGAATGAATGAACAAACTAATAATGGATGAATCTCCTTCTTTCACATTTGTGGGTTATGCTAAACTGCCTGTGAATAAAAAGAATTACACTGCTCATGACAGATGACCCTACCCATACTTGCTCAACACAGGTATGCTTTAAGCATGTACAGGCAGTTGACTGTGCAGCCAATTTCGCAATCTTTGTGTGCACAAGGCAGTGCCTCTTTTAGCCATTTTGAGCCATGTACAATGTACTTCACGCCACGATCTCGTGTCTTATGTACACTCAAACCTTATAATAACAAAGTTGCATTTACATCAAAATAACTTCTTTATGTCCAAAAATTCTTTATAAAGGTATATTCTTAACATTATGTCTATTGCAAGACTATTTATCATTTACTTTGTTGTAACCGACATTTCATTATATCTGGGTTCAATATATCGAGGTTTGAGTGTACTTGCAATTTGATCCTTTTAATATTTACATAAACTGGGATTGCACAGGTGCATATTAATGTTGCCTAGCCAAGCTGTTCTACCCACTTCTGCCATTCTAAAAAACTCACTAGAAGTTTTACAGGGCCTAAAGAACGCATTGACAAATGTGCCAGTTTTTCTGAGGAATGAGAATATTTATTAATTATGCAAGTAAATACCAAATATTGAAATGATCCAGTTTTCAATGTAGTCAAGTGTACATAAAATCTGTAATTAAACAACATTACTGGCAACCTTATATTCATTAAGAAACACACAGCATCACTTCTTTAAGCAATGGGTTGTGTTGTACATAAAGGCAGAGTTCAGGATTTTTAAATATATGGCATGCAGCCAACCCTTGTTATAAATAAAAAATTTGTCACAAATGTATACTTTTAATACTGTACCAATGACAAAACTATTTTTCATTTACTCCATTACAATCGAATATTTACTACATTCCTCTCTAATGTCCAAAGGTTTGAACGCGTGTGATACAGAATTAACTCGGTATTTGTTTGACAAGCACAGGAAACAGTCCAGGCACTAATAATAAGACAATAACATAAAAAGAAACTGAAATTTGATGTGTTTATGAAACTTGTTAGTAATCACTTTGACTATTCACGCAATAACAGAATGATCGTATTTACTCACGGAAGGGGATAGAAAGGCTTTTTCGTGCGATCGGCTTGTGACTGTTCCACCTTGATGGTCTGCGATGGCGATTCCCTCTGCAGAATTTCGCATACAAAAGACATAATTAATTTTACCTGCAAATCTCACACAAGTTCAACAAAATCTGCACTTATTCGTCAACAACGACATGTTATTTAAACAGGCACACAATGTAGCTTCGAATCTAGCCATAATGTTGACTCGTATGCATTCTTCTTTCCCTGAATCTCACTAGGCACTGTCAGACAAAGTTTTGTTCTGAATTATAGTGAATCCTGGCACTCACGATTTTCACTTCATAGTGAGACTACCATTTCGCAACAGTGCGTATGCGGGTGGATTTTATTTATTTTCCCATTTGCATTACAAATCTTTAAAAGATTGTAACTTTATCAGCTTATTGACCTACTATACTATGCATTGTATGCACTCAAACATACTAGGGGAAAATGTAAGCTGTCCTACTACTGCAGGAAAAGCACCGTATAAAAAAGTCTACATTACTGGAGTTTTCTATTTCTGGTTGTGTGAAGGTGCTGCTATTACTGGACTTCAGAACAATTGTCTTGTTATTCCACTGATTGTTATCATTAGGGTTGTAACATGTCTTATGCTGGCCAATAAAAGATGTACATATGTAAAAGAAAGTTTCGTGAATCCTAGATTGATTCACCGCAGTGCAATTGCTAGTGTAAAAATGTTACTGCACGAAATAGCCAACAGTCCAAAATTGAATATGGACATTTTTACATGCCATAACAGATCAAATCAAATCATTTTTTTTTTCTCAGATGGAGGTTCTTAAGAGTTGCATAAGCTAAAAACTGCTTTGAACAGCTTGACCGGACCAATAAAATCTTTACAAGGCAATCGGGACTATAACAAAAATTACCAAAAAGTATAATACATAATGTTGATAATAAATGACATATTTTCAATATTTCACTATGAAGTAAACTAAATATCGATAAAATTTAATTATATCAACACATAATATTATTAACCTCATTATGGTTATTAGGCATGCTATAGTGGGAGACTACATATTAATATTGAACCCCTAGGGGTTCTTTTTAATGCACACCTAAATATGAGTGCACAAGCATTTTTGCATTATGATCTCATCAAAATGTGACTTCATGCAGCGGCTGCAAATTGAAGCCACGCCTTCTAGCTCAGCTCTTAATGCCATAGCTGTTAAGCTACCATGGTGGCAGAGTTGCCAGATGCTACGGAGCAAACAAGCAAGTACTCATTATGAAACAAGCCCAAAAGAAGTGGACACATTATAAATGTTCCATTCCGAGAAATATTTTTAGTAATGATTAAAGCAACTATCACTTCAATACAAAGGAGAGTTCTAAAAGTCTGTCAATTGTTTTGTACTGTGAAAGTATGCGCAACTATGAAGGAAAGCATATATAGTAGCTCCCTTTTAATATTATCTCCTGGGAGGTCTCCATTCGATTGAAGGCACGTTTGCCGGTGAATGATTAACATTACTTGTAGATTCTCCAACATACGTTTGACTTCAACACTCAACTATAGGCGTGTGCACGGGGGAGAAGGTTCGGCAGAGGGGGGAAGTGGGGCATAAAATTTGTCTTATCCATTGACTTGGTAGGGCGTGGGGGGAGAGGGGTGCTACGACAAACCTGCACACTTCTATTTAATAGTGAAACGTACACACACTATACACTCAGCTACTCAAAACCATCGACAAACACACCATTCGTGAAGAAGATGATCACTAAAATAACCATATATTCTGGGAAAATGCAAATAAGCCCGAAAATTGCGACAGGCGAGCTGAGAGTTCTAAGAGTGACTCAGCAAAAAAGGAAGCCCAGATACGTTTATTATAAGCACAGCAGGCAACTCTGCATGGTGGGTAACAGCCAACATTGATCCGTCAAGCAGTTCACATTTCTGTATGCTTATAGCAATATTACATGCTGTGGCTCGTGCACTAGTAACAATGCACCATCTGTGCAGTCATTAAGTATATCTGTACCTTGACACCAAAGAAATGCAGGTAGAAGGCATCGATCTTCTGCAGGCGTCCATCAGGGACCTTGACATAGGCAGGATCACCGAAGGCCTGCACATGCACGGTGACCTGGAAGTGGTTTTTCTTCTGGCAAACATGCGCCTCATCCTGCTGCACTGAAGTTGAACCCCTTGTCTGCATCGGCCCGGAATACGACTGGCTGCCTGCAAGTTGCACGTACTCTGAGTATGGCAGTCTGACATAACAACGGTGAAGAGAGTGATTTTCCAAAAGAATGTGAGTGACTCAATCAAATGAAAGCACTGCATTGTTTGTTCGCCACTGCAGATAAGCTACTGCTGTTGGTATAGTTGCTTTACGGTAAACTCGTTCACAATCTCGATTCACAATCTGCATTCTCAAACAGATCTTCAGCACTCAGGTAATTCATGACAGTTTATAAATGATCGGAGATTGCAAGACAGAAGACGAAGTTTAGCATAAAAAATGTGCCTTCGTTTTGAGACCCTTCTTTTTTATAGATTATGCATCATATAGCAAATTTACATTCTCGGAGCATAATTTAGGACAAAATCTCAACAAACTTTCTATGTTTTTTTTTAGTAACTTTAGGTATATCTGAGCATTTTTGGGAAGTGCATAAAAAATGCAAGGCTTTTGTATTGTTATTGTCACTGCTTTCGAACTGAACCATTCATTTTCACTCATGACAAAAAGAAAATTAGCCGAAGTGTGGTACTGTATTGCAAAGATGTACAGGGCATTTCCAATCCTAGTTGTCAAAGGTATATATGAGTGCTATGAAGAGTATTGCTCGTTAGTACACATGCTCTGGCAATGTTCGGCATTACAACATGCCTCTTTTAATGAACAAGAGGACTGAGAGGAAGCTTTCAAAATCGGCAATCTCCAGGAGCAACCAAGAGCTGTCTTGAGGGCCTGCAAACGGGCAGAGGACCGTGGCACCTACGTGGGCACAGCCCGCATATACGACCCTGTAAGTTCCTTAGGACTGGAATAAAGTTTGTTGAGTGACTGACTGATATGCACGCACACACTCATGCACGCACATCTTTTCACTTAATGAACGCACAATGGCAGAATAGTGCACTCTCATTCACTTTTTGCTCACAAAATAGGGCTACTTGTGCTCGTATACTCACAGTGGTTGGAGGGTCCTGTCATGAAGTGGGAGCCATGTGTGCTCCTGGAAGTTTTGGAAGCTAATGCAGGGCACGTTGGTGTCTGCAAAGCCGCTTCCGTCGAGTGAACTTCCGCCCGCAGCAGCGTCATAGCTGCACTCATCGTCTACGAGAGACAGCGAAGGTGCAACAGCATCGGAGGCAGCCGCTGCTGTTGTCATTGAATGATGTCGTTGCCATTGCTGAAGGCCCAGCTGCATGCATGATATACACAAAATGTGAGTATGCTTCATCAAATTGAAAAATAAATTACAAAAATGTGAGAATATTATTCACGCATTTTGTGAGACATTAGACGGGCGAAACACCACACCCAAAGAGAGGAGGTACTAATATATGAGACTCAAAAGGTCTGCATACGTCTCATCGTACGTCTCTCGTGACACTTTTTGGGGAGCCAAATTGTTGTGCCATAATAATTAATACATTTTGCTCAAAGCAGGAACGAAAAACATGTTAAAGAAATTGATTTCGTAGTTTCCCTTAAGCTTTCAGCTATTAAAGTGTATTTGCTAGTAAGTAAATTCTACATATACCATGTTGCATTCACGATATCATTGCATGTGACATCTATGTGTAATGAAGGTTAGTGTAATATAATCAAATTGGAACAGCTACAATGTGCGCAGTAATTATCACTAGCACATGAAAGCTACGCTTTCATGTGCTGGAAGCTTTTTGAACTCATCACAGGCTATAATTAGATCAAATGCAGGTGGCAAATACACTCAAATCTCAATATAACGAATACCGGTTATGATGAAATAATTAAAAATAGTCTTGCAATAGATATAGTGTTAAGAATGTACCCTTATTACAAATTTGTGGATATATCAAACTTTCTTCGTGTAAAATGCAACTTTGTTATATTGAGGTTTCAGTTTAGTGGAATGGATTATGAAATCATCAGCAATTGTGTTGGAATGCACTATGTATAAGTAGCCAGTGCATTGGATCTCTTAACTAAAGTTCGATGACCAACAATGCACTCGCTGCTATCATTGTACTATGAGTGTTGTTTGCTTTTCTGGGCACAAGTTAACCCATAAAGAGGTTGCTCTTTTGCTGTGCTTGTTATTACTGTGTTTTTAATGATCACATTAGCATGGGAATATAGATACAGTAAAAACTCACTACAATAAAGTTTCATTAAACAAAAAAGTGTTTTCATTATAATAAAAACTCACTGTATGTTGAGGTATGACTGTACTAATGCGTACGTAAATGGGAATATGTAGTTTTGTCTGTCAAAGAGATGAATGATTTGCAGGATTCTTCATTTAAGAAAGCTCACACTGCATGAATAAAGAAAAATTACCCAGTCCCTATACTCACACTTTTTAATTGTTATACCAGTCACTTTCTGTAACAGAGATTCATTCTGAATGCTTCTTAATGTAGAAGCTAAATTGACATCAAAATAAGGTGCAAATTGTGAAATCACTACCCTCTCGTTATGTCACTTATGAATGTGCTTAAGGTAAATGTTGGTCAAAGACATTCTACTTTGATCCAACTATGCTCTCAGATTTTAATTGTGGTGTAGATGCTCAATGCCATTTCTCTACCATTATTGCCAGTATAACTATGTGTTGCTCCTATAAGTGAAAGTTAGTGATAAGTGATAGGTATAGGCTATGATAGCGTGTTTATAGAGTAAAATTTGAGTTTTATCGAACTATACTGGCACCGAATTGGCCCAGTCAATTACCCGCAATTTCCCAGAGCACTTTGGTATATCTTCAGTACAAGTACTACATCATTTTCAATTTCAACATTACACTAAAAAAGTACTGCAGTACCTGGCTCCTGTTTCACTTGCACAAGGCCATTTGATTGACTCGCATCAGAAAGTCGTCTCCGCTTGGGATTAGAACCCCCTGAGCAGTCGGGAATTTCGTCACGCATGAAGTCATCTCGGCTGATGAAAAGAGCAACAGTACGAAAAAATCAGCTACCATTCAGTTCCAATATTTAAGGTACATGAACGTAAACATTATACACAGTGTTTATAAGACACTTAGGAATAACTACAGCACACTTATAAAAAAAAGAAGTGGTTCACCTACTATGTGCCTTTATTATTATTGAAACTTCTTGCATAATTCTTGCCGAACGGTGAGATAATATCAAGCGAGAAAGAAAAAGAGCAAAAAAAAAGAAAAAAAAAACAAGTTATCATAGCATAATAAAATATCACATTTGTTCGAAAATGAAAATACCATACCTCCATGTGATGGATCATAGAAAATGCAATATCACCTCATTGTGTGGGATATTCAAAAAGGCAGACAGGAGGGTCTCAATAAATCTAAATTCCCAGCTAGTTTTAATTTCAGTAGTATCACATATAAGCTATTTTATTAGTTACTTAGCTTCTGTCTGCATGTTTATTCTGCAATGACCAAACTAGACAGTGATGATATAGTGTCTAATTACCAACAGTATAATATATATATATATATATATATATATATATATATATATATATATATATATATATATATATATATATATACTTTATTCACTTATATTTCTTATGCTATTTATTATTTATTATACTTAATACCATTTATTCTGCTCATTTATGGCTCAATTTATTGGGAAAAGAAAGAAAATGGAATGAATCTGTTTTATGGCACATCACTTGCAATTTACTATGACAGAAATCGCATAGAGGATAAGTAACGCTTGCTGTACTCACCCCAGATCATCCAGATCTTGCATTTGTGGCTGCTGTTGGAGAAACCTGAAATGCAAAAGTAAGCTGGTTCAGCTAAACGTTGCTTCAAGCTATAGTTGGTAATTCATAAACTACTATACTATAATTGTCCTTTGTGTAAAAAGTTGTGCTATAAAGCTTGCAATTAAGCTTCTTAGTAAGCTTCAAATGCATGCTGCATCACACAAAGATCATACACTACTGTGACTCCAGTGATATTGATGATAGGGCAGCATGTGTGCCCCAATGATAATGAAGTAAATTATTGGACAGTAACAGAATCATTACAAAATATATGCAACAAGTAGATACACAATAGAGGCAATGTAAACCTCATTTTTTTGTCAGTCAGCTTCATCCATTTTTATTCATTTAATATAACTTCCATATCTGGCCAGTGCAGCATTTCAGGGCTATTTCACAAGTACTCAAGCCAATTTAAATTTACTTTTAAATTACTTTGTATGCAGATGTAGAACATACTGAGTTGCCAGAGCTGAAGTTACCCATATGCCGAACGCCAGCTGCAAATTTGAACAAAAGGAATGATGGCTATGTGGCAAGGTAGATGAAAACAGCACTGAGTTGACAAAAATTATAAAGAATCAGTCTAAGTCTTTGGTCATTGTAAGCCTGATGCATGCATAATTCAAGAAGTATAATTTTACTACCTATCTAAACATTTTAGCCTAGTGTTGCTTAATCTTTCCACAGTAATGTGCTCACACACATTGTTGTAGTATGACTTCTTAAACTCACGGGTAAAAGTGTCATGGAAATGCATGAACAGAATCAGGTAGTTTCACACCATCGCATGATCAGTCTGCTCTCGTTTTCAGTGCATATACATTGTAATATGCTCCTCCTGTGCTCTGAGCAGGAAGTATAGTGGAGGCATGTACTCAAGGACTGCTATGGATGACAACAGCTGGCATGGGCTCAAAGCCATAAAACGTTCTTGCTTCATTGTATAACTCAACAGCGTTGCAGTGAGAGCACATTTTCTCTAGCACTAATAAACAAGTGCCACTGCATTAGATTTCACTAGATATTTTGTCAGTGATATACGCTTTAATTGAAAGATGACTGCTTTGTAGAGGTGGAGTTAGAACAATTTACAATGTAGTAGATATATGGTGGCAGCTTGCAGAATCGCACCTCCTGTAGAGTGGTACAACAGAGGGCTGCTGGGGCGGCATGCTGAGCATGCTGAGTAACTGCTGCTGCTGCTGCTCACTGTCCGTGGCAAGATTACCGGGCAGGAGTTGCAAGCCATGACTACTGGCGGCCCCACTTGTGTCCCTTGTCTGGAATCCTCCAGGCGCCTGCTGGAAAGTCAGGAGAGTAGGTAGCAAATAGTTGAAAAACGAGCAGCAAGGCTTCCACACCACTGCAAATCCTGAGTATGCCATGTGCATGTCTAAATATCAGGATTATAGCAGGAGTGATACGCCAAAATGTGCCCCCCCCCTCCCCCCCCCCCCTTCGAAACTTCTTTCTACCTTGGGATACCTAACGTGAAACAATATACAAGACAACACCCGCCCCTCTGCCCAGCTGAGGCGGTGCTCTCCATGAAATTAAGAAATGGAATAGACTTTCTGAAGAGGTAGTAAATATAACCAATTACACTATTTTTTCTATCACTGCAACTTATAGTTGTTCACTTTATGATTTCACTCTGCATTAGTATTTAAATACTGTATTTGCATTATTAACTGGTTGCATATTGGTTAGGGCAGTATGTATTATGTTTTACTGCTTTTGATATTTATTTTTTAAAGCAGAACTGCATTGACCTCTGCCAATGTGCCCCAACTCCCTACATTTGCAAGTACAACTGTGCAGGAAATGTGAAAGTTATAAAGTGTCAGCCATGTTCACAAAATATGAAAAAAAAAGAAACATCTATATTTATTTATGTGATAAAATACATTGGTTATTGAGAACAAGATAAAAAAGTGTATATGATTATTTATTTATTTTTATTTAAAAGTACCTTACAGACCCCTAGAGGCATTCTGTAAGGGGGGGGGGGGGGTAATACAAAAAAGGTTTTTTTTTAATGTGTATATAGTACAGGAAAATCCAGAATATATGAGAACAATATAAAAACTGTTATTATAACACAAGTGGGAATGCATTGTGTGATATGATTGCATTATGTGCTATACAACAAAAAGAGGCAAGAAAAGAAAAAAATATACTCTGAATCATAACAGCTCATTTACACAATCAAATTTGGCACACAAATACGAACAATGTAATTATAGAACAAATGCGACGTACAGCGGTTAATACAAAAACATATGTAACGTGAAATAGCACACAAATGATGATAAAGGCTATGCAAAAACAAGAAAACAGTTGTGGGGGCATGAAAAATTATGTCAACAAAAGTGTGTTTTGTAGATGCTTATAGTTTTCTTGATCATCCTCGGAAGCGATGGTGTTAAGAAGGTTGTTCCAAAGGCGAATGGCTTTGGGAAGAGCAGAATAGTTAAATGAATCGGTCTTTCCGCAAATGCGCATGAAGTTAAACTCATTATAAGAATGTTGTGACCTATATAAGGGAGTTTAAAGCTGCAAAAATGATGAAGGTGCATTAAAGATGCATTTATAAAACAATGACAGCTGGGCAATATACCAACAATTATGTAAAGAATGAAGAGATAGGTCGAGTTTAATTTGTGTAATGCCTTTGTTATGATGGAATAAAACGTTCCATTTTATTTTGTACAGATTGGATTTTTTCGATTAGATATTTTTGATGTGGAGACCAAATGGATGCCGCATACTCAAGCTGCAGTTCTACAACTGTTCAATAAGCTAGTTTGCAAATATTATTAGTAGAATGATGTAACTTGCAACGTATGTAGCCCATGATCTTGAAGCATTGGTGCAAATGCATTCAATATGAGTTGACCATGAAAGCGTAGAAGTTAGGTGAACACCAAGATATTTATATTGTGCGTTATACAAGATATTTGTGTTATTCGTATGGTACAAAAAGGTAGAAGTAGTACGCTTGCGGCTAAAACTAATGATTTTACATTTAACAATATTAACCTTCACTATCCAAGTGTCACATCAAGAATAAACAAGTTCAAGGTCTTTCTGTAGGACTTGGTGATCGTCATTAGTTTCAATAGGACGGTAAAGAATGCAGTCATTTGCAAAAATGCACACGTGTGAGGTAGTATTACTCTGTAAGTCAATAATGTATATCAGAAATATTAACGGACCAAGAACACTTCCCTGTGGTACACCTGAGATGGCATGAGTAAGATTAGATGAATGATTATCAACTATTGTGAATTATTGACGATTGCACAAAAAATTTTAAATCCAGGTTTGTGTGAAAGGGCCCAGTTGGAGAACTGATAATTTCAGAATTAAGCAGCGATGTGCAATGAGATCAAATGGTTTTCAGAAATCAAGGAAAGCACAATCAGTTTGTAGACATTCGTGCATGTTAGCATGCAGATTCTTTGTTTGTTCAACTAATTGAATCTCGCACGAGAAATTCCATTAAATCCTTGTTTATTAGTGAAGAAAAATTTGTTAGCTTCCAGGTGGCTATAAACATTGGATGCTATTATATGCTCTAGCATTTTGCAGCAGATGATTGTTAATGATATTGGGTGGTAATCTGTGGGTGTTTGTTACCCAAGCTAAATATTGGTATAACCTTATATAAAATGTAATTATTTGATATGGTATAAACTTGTAATTGTGATATGACAAGTTTAAGGACAAAAGTGCTTAGAACACATCGTGTATTTTGTACATGTACTCGTCAAAAACATTTATCATTATTTGATAATAGCAGTGATAATATTGGCACTGTTGATGACAACACATTTATGGAGACACATATGTTGTCTACATAGTAGGGCCATCAAAAAGAAGGCACAGTTCTGCCTCAAGGGCAAAGCAATGAATGCAGTAGCAACAGGTTAGAATGTTGTATGAAGTAAGGCTAGCAGCTAACTCTATTAGGATCTGATCTGGTGCAACTCAACAAAATGCTCGATTAAGGGGAGGCGGTCACTTTAGCGAGAGAAGCATTTTTCGTGCTGTCAGTTGCTTCGATGCAATGTATTGAAAGCACAATAATTACAAACAAGGGTATGAGCTGTCTCCCAATCTCAGCTGTGAAAGCGCACGGCCGCGCCTGTTTGATAAAAGTTCGCAGTTCCTGTCCAATCGACGCAGCACACCCTCCCTGGCACCCCTTCATGCTCCTTTACCCAACGGATCCGACCGACGTGTTTCATCTGAATTTCAGCTGCCCCCTTCTGTAGCATTCGCTAACTTTTGCTCCCACACAGAACATACTGCTCGCGGGTTGATGTTATCTGTACGTATTTAATATGGAAAAATGATGGCGGCGGAAAAGAACGCTCTCCGACTTCGAGTGATATTACAATAAAAGTCATATTTTGCCGCAGTCAGCATTATTTGATAGCTGTAGCAATGCAGCAGAAAATTAGGCAAAGTAAGGCCCACAGGTTTATGGGTCACGTATATTGTGGCAAATGTTTGCTTAGAAGGTTCGAGCGTTCATACCGAAGGCGAAGCGCCAAGCGGCGAGTTACGAGTGTGCGCACATGGCCTCTGATGTTGCTGGCGCGTGGCGTCGTTGCAGCACCCGTAATCTCGGAGGCCATGGCTTGCTTCTGTTCAGACCGCACACCTTCTTTGGCTGACCGCACAGCCGAAGAGGCAGGGCTTCTCGCGCTTTCGAGCGCGTGTCGCCGTCACGTGACACTGCTCCACCTAAATACTTTACGCCCAAAGATACACCAGCGCCACCGTCGCGTGGCGTTCTGTTTGGCTGCGGCAAAACGGAGAGCTTTGTTGGTGGGCAGCAAAGAATCGGTCACACAAGGGATCCTGCTTGCCACCTTGTTTTCTGCCAGCTTTCGCCACCCTGAGAGGAGGTTACCCCGTTTTCTGCTTTCACGCTTCGGCCGCGCCGCCTTGGGTGTGAACGAGCCAACTTACGTTTTCTTATTGATACAAGCTTGCTAATACTTAGTTAGGTGAAGATGGAGAAATATACCTACCGTGACAGAAAGGTGTTGGGGCGGGGAATGCTGGTGCTGCACCGAAGATACCGGGTGGTAGGACAGATGAAGCGGCAGGATGGGAGGAGCCTGCCTCGGTGATGACTGCATCACGTGGCTGGCACCGGTCACCTTTGCGCCGTCCGCTGCTGGAGAAGGTGAAAGCAGTTATAATATTGCACAATCAAAGGTTTACAGGTGAACTTCAAATAAAAGGATAAACAATGTCGATGGATCGCCATTTGTTACAATTGCATAGCCGTTTAAGCATCGTTCAGAATGACGAACATTTGCTTGAACTTACTTCATCCACCTTGAACTGATGAACTCTAACCCCTATACAGTCACCCTGCCGTGGTGGTCTAGTAGCTAAAGTACTTGGCTGCTGAGCCGCAGGTCGTGGGACTGAATTCCGGCTGTGGCGGCTGCATTTTCGATGGAGGCACCAATGCTGAGGCCCGTGTGCTCAAATTTGGGTGCACGTTAAAGAACCCCAGGTGGTCGAAATTTTCGGAGCCCTCTACCACTGCGTCTCTCATAATCATATGATGGTTTTGGAACGTTAAACCCCACTTATCAATCAATCAACCTTTATACAGTTCACTTGTTCTTTGCTATTTGTATCTCATGTAACATACCCATTTGTATTTGTATCCTACCCTTCTCTTATGTCCTACTCATACCATACTTGACTCTTCGCAAATCTTGTTTATCGTGCTTTGTTGATTTTGAAACTTATTTCCCATATTATACCTCCCTGGTCATGTGCTCTCTCATAATCTCAGTGGAACAAAAGCACCCTAAGGCAGTATGACAAACACACAACCCTGTAGCTACCCAACACGCTAGCCGACTTGAGACACACGATTCAATCAAACGTGTGATTTTCCCAAAGCTCATTTTTCTCTTTTCTTCAACTCTTCGGCATTGCCGTGGGGACAATGCACTGATGTTTAATATGTTCTAAAAAAAGATTACCACATGGAGCTAGTAAGAATGAATGAATGAATGAATGAATGAAGGCAGCCCTCACTTACCATCTGCAATGGGAGAGAACGGAGGCTCCGAACCGCTGTCAGGTGGACTCTCCGGAAGTAGATGCTGCCGGCTGCTGTTCCTGACGCGATGAAGGCCCCGGCAAGTAAATAAACCCGTCCATGCATCAGACGTCTCAGACCACGCACGTGTTTGCTAAAGAATTGTATACTGTGGTCTTATACGTCTTTCAGAAGGAACGTATACCAAAGCTTATCTACAAAGTGCGTTATACACACCATAGGAGGTTTCATGGATCACTGTCGACAAACTGATTTTAAAAAATGGGATTGGGGAAAGTATAACACCCACTGGTCAAAAGTGATATCACCTGTGAATACTAAGAAATGTTTGAAGATTAAAAACTTATGAAAACATACTCCATGTGACTACTAAAGCATGCAGCAGAATAGACCATCTTTTATTTTAGAACTCCTGTTAATGCCGTTTGTGGTATCTTGACATTTTCTTGGATGGTGTGTATGCTTTATCCAGTGTCGAGCTCTATACTCAATACTTGCCAAGAGCTGCTGCCGAAACATCTCGTACAAGGAGGATCGCTATGGATGACGCTATCGGAAAAGTTCATACGAAAATATTGTTGCATGTCACTGTTTTGCGCTGAAAATATTAAAAAATGCTCGAATCACGAATATGCTGAGTAGGCGAATAAATGCTCTGTTTTAACAGTTTTGATGTTGCAACAAGCATCGCGTGATAAATTTGCCCATTGTTCTGATGCGCTCGAAATTGCAAGCTGGCTTCGCCGCAGTAAAGCTATTAATGTGGTGAAGCTTACTTTGACAAAATTTGCTGCATTGCAATGTAAGGTCAACAAGCGGAATTCATATACTGGCTTGATTCATCCGCTGTCCGGTTAAGTTGATTGGTACTTGGCTGCACTGACACATTTATAACGTTCTTAAAGAACATAATACAGTCTTTAAAAACAGGAAAATTTGGAAGAGATGATGTGCGATTGTCCAACATTGACAGCAACAGTCCTATCACCAAAAAAATCTAGGCGCACCTATACCTTATTTTCACGTCAAAAACGGACGTAATGTGATGTTTTACCTAAGAAGTTTCGTGATTCCTAGAGGTAATATGGTGTGAACATTTATAGACGCTCTCACTTGCATTTTCGGTTATTTTTGTTTGCGGTTTGAGTTTGAGTTTGAGTTTATTTAACCACGTAACAAGTACACGAAAATACACTGTTTACGCGGTTTGGTGCGAAGGGAAAAAAGCTGCATTTCACAGCTTGACTGGCCCCTTCACACAGAAAAAAAATTTAAACTACAAATTTACAAAAAGTTACATGTTACATGGTTCATGTTTACTACCATGCAGGATGGTGGTAATCTCTGTTTGTTTGTTCATTCATGCTGTCAACCAAAAGTAGGTGTTTTTACAGGAGTGGTAACAAATAAAGTAATACAAAAATACCTACAATATTGTGCTGCAGTTCGAGCAAAAAGGAAAAGAAAGAGAAAAAAGACCAAGTAGTACATTACAAAATAGAGACATACAGCAAATTTCAGCGCGTACACTTATATTGTGTGCAATGAAAAACTTTCATGAAATTCTCGTTCGATTGTTTCTAGTATGTCTACTCACCCTAGCGTTAGGGCGGAGTTCGCCGTTGGCTGGGGTGCGCTGACGGCGGCCTCTGGTGGCGAGACGGCGCCGTGCAGCAGAGCGGCCACGGAAGGCAGCACGTCGCGCTGCCCCAGAGATCCGAGGCCAGCCGGTGTGGACGGGGCGGGGGCGCACGCTCGCTTGCCAGGCGTCGGGGACTCGCCGCTCACCAGCTCGTCGTGAAAGTAGCTGCGAAAGAAAGGACTTCACCCGTCGCATTCACGGGCGCGTCCTCGTCCGTTTCAACCGATCGTCGTGTGGGACAGCGTGAACGAACGCGCGCGCGCGCATACACATTAAAACTTTCTCCAACATCTCGCGCACAAGTCCTCCGTACAGGAAATTGACATTGTTATAGATAACATCTTGCGAAGTTCTTAAAAGTACAGTAATGGTGGAAGCCCAAGTACAACCAAATGGAGCTCGTAAAGCTCGCACTGAAACGACCGCACTGGCAGAGACGAAACGTGCAGCAGCAATTTATACCGAAGGAAGCAAGTGCGTCGCAGTACAACGTATTCGCTACAACAATATGTCATTCGAACTACGGCATATAAAATACTTCAATTACGAAATTCATGCCGCTGGTCGAATCGGTTTCCTCCTCACCCAACACAAACGCACGAGTAGATATTTCGCCGCAAACACTGGCTTTGTAGCGAAGCTTTTATTCGTTGACTCTAGTAGATGCGTCTAATTTGTGTAGGCGCACGTGACCTTCTCATTTCTACAGGAAGAACCACTACTCTACAAATCGAGTACGTCTTTTCTTTTTTTTTTTCTTTTTTGCACACTGCGATGAACACTTGTACAACACGTATACTAATTTCTTCACACGTACACACAAGGCCAGATATTCAGATGTGCACGTCACCACTAGAAGTGCGCCCTTGGACGCAACTAAACAAAATAAAATTCAAGGTATATCGTCATATAAACTATCTGCTTGAAAAAAAAAAGAATGTTTGTCACGTAAGCTCCCGTTTCGTCTAGTCATAAGTGTGCGCACGGGTAGGTTAGGTGGGGGGTGGGGGGAGTGAACGCCCCTTCCCCCCCTAGTGAACTATAGGGGGGGGGGGGCGCAAAGTCAGCCCTACACATTAACATGATAAGGGGGAAGGGTCACTGCAACTCGGGAGAGGGGGTGCAAGATCAGCCCCATACATTGACATAATAGGGAGGCGCTGCAACGAACTCACCTCCACCCATCCCCCGCTAAAGGGGAGCCTTCGCACGCATATGCGTCTAGTACCCTTACTTTGTCCAAATCTTCGGGCGTGCTGTCGGTACCAAGATGCTTACCGACATCTACTGCGCAGATGCTCTACGGTGCATCTGCTAGACTAGTATGATGGTACGGCTGAAACGTAACCTTAAGATCACATTTAGCTAGCTTATGACGCTTTAGTGAACATAGGTTCAAGATGACACTCACATGTTGCCGTCGTTGTTGATGTAGTCTTCGAGCTGGCTGAAGTCGAGGGCGTCGTTGTCGATGCCGCCGAAGTCAGTTCGGCCTGGGAAAACAAGAAAAAAAGCAATAAATTTACGGAAAACGAACAGCGAGGCTTCGGCAAACGAAAAAGGGCATCTAATACGCTCTAATGTGCGTATTAGATGCCCCGAAAACGCCTTCTCCGGTTAATGCGACTGCCCGCAGATTTGCGTATATGCAAAGTCATGTTGCCATCGATGCCTGGTTACAATCAAGCGTTTATCTTCGGCACTCTCTTGGAACTGAGAACTTGTGTGCTAACTTGTCGGTTCTAAACATTAGTGAATTAATAAATGCAAAAAATTAGCATCGTGTCAGTAACCTACGTGGTAGCCGTTTCCAAGTGATCATATGTGTATTTCCTGTACCGCTATAGGCCTGAGAGCACACTCACTGATCAATGCGCACAGAACATGTGAAATCGTTACAAAGAACCAAATAACAAGCTACCTTAATGTTGCCTTTTTTGTATACAGGCATTGAAAGCAATTAAAGTTTCATGGTGTTTTAACGACAGCGAAGCTGCATATCTTTAAATTCGTACGAAACAATGTTGACATATTTCATTTGATCGGTTTTGACAGCTCCCGTGAAAATGTGCCTGTTTATACCGGCGCATTTATAATGTTGTCAAGATAGCATGGAGTCCAATGCACGCCGTAACACTGAAGTCTCTCTTACAAAGGAACTCTGTGCGCGAAGATGCCATACCGGGCGACTCCGTGCATCAAATACTTAGATCGGGATGACTGGGTTGAATCGTGGACACCTTGCCTGGAGGTTACTAACTGTTTGTAATTATGACCGTTTTGTTCTTCAAATTTTGTGGTGCCGCTTTCAAGATGTGAAATGAGCTCGTTTCATTTCATTTTTCTTATATTCCACCAATTGTCGAACACAAATTGGTTGTAGTACAGGTTTTATCATGCTTATACGCGGAATGCTCCACGAAAGCATGCGAGAGTGCGGCAATAAAGAAGGGGGACGGTGTGTAAGAAATGTTGCAGTATTAATAAACATTACATGCCGAAATAACTCCACTGAAAATGTTCTCTCTTCGACAGTTGTTTAACGCACTGAGCCGCGGTTGCCTACAACAACGGGCTGCACGTGTAATTAACCTATCGAGCAGGCTTAACCCGAAATAGTCAAGACAGACACATGTCAAAAATTTACCCACTACCGATTTCACATCGTGGACTCAGCTTTCAAGGCCTGGGACCCTGATGTCACGGGTTCTTGCGTTAATATCCCCTCAGTCGTGGAGAAGATGGTAACCGAATCTGTCGTGATGCGCATTAGTAAAAGTGGACATCTTAAATATTTTTATATCGACGTGGCTTTTTTTTAGTAAGCTTTACCTCAATGCACAGGAATATTGCGGTGAAGTCACTTAACCCGCTAACATGCGAATAATATTACTGGCAAACGAATACCTCTAGTGAGCACCTGAGATTATCATGAAGTGGACGTCGTATGGTTTCCAGGACATCAAACGAGCAACAAGGATACCAAAGCTGGAACCCGGATTGGTCCGTGGGTTGGGAAAGGTACCAGCAGCGAGCGTGGAGCCTATCGAGATTTCGCGCTTTTCGGCTGCACTCTTCCGCTTGCGCAGTCGAGAATGCGCTACGCGAAGTGAGATCGGCTGACCGCCGCACGGTAACCATGCGATAGAAGCAAGAACGTGTGCGAGACTGCTCTGAAAAGCGTGGAAACAGACAATTCACGACTTATTTGCTTCAAAACAAACAAACAAAAAGACCTCGCAGCGTAATCACGCCACTCTTGCTGGCGTCTCATCGCTGGCGTCACCTAGAACGCCGAAAAGACTGGAAACGCCGGCAGAAAAATAGCAGATTATATATAGTTAGCAAATAGCAGAGTGCCTCGTTCGGTCTCTTCTACCTTCAGAGGTTGTCCAGCGGGGCCTCTTAAGTGGCTTTTCCGGAATACACACGCACACGTTGTACTGACCGCCACATTGTATGTGGCGGTCAGTATACTGTCAAAATGACGGCCAAGTATAGAGGAGCCGAACATCACTAATGCCAGAAGTTACACAGAAAAGTGTCAATGAAAGCGAATAGCCCGACGCTTCTCTAGAAAAAGTTTTTCTTTCTTTTTTTAATGGTGCTCAATTGCGTACACTTATTAGTTTGAACTTCCACGTAGCGCTCATCGTTTACGCAATCCGTTATATACAAAGACATCAACCAGTAAATTTGTGGCTAGCATAGGTGGCTTGACATGTAAGTCAATTTAAAAAAATATATATATGTTTTGTGGAAGGCGACTTTCATACACCACTCTACCGACGAAGTCACAAAGCAACCGCCGCAAGGGGAAACGAGGACTGGTCTTCCCAACAGCTCCGATTAGAGATACAGTGCAGGTCTCCCACTTCATTATACGGTTTCAGACACCTCGAAGTTTACGAGCAAAAGCACGCATACTTTCTCAAAGGAATGGGTCGGCATTTGGTCATGGATGTGGCAGTTTGTGAATATGTTGCGCGAGGTATCTGTATATCGGCGATAAGACCGGATTGTCCGACCGTGAACCACGAAATCGGGTGAAAGAGGAAAAATAATTAAGCCTATTCGCTTTAAGTCAGCGCATTGCCCGCGCATTTACTGTTAAAACAAAAATACGCGAGTCGTCGTGCGATTGGACAGTGCTGTTGGCGGAAGGCCAGCTTGAGATTTCACGACCACCGGGGCCCCTGCACGATGGGACTTGAAAGAATAAATTGAAGAAGCTCGGCATGAGAAGGTACTTAATATCTACTGCGCTAAAAATTCCACGGAAAACGCAGTCACGTTGAAGAACCGTTCTAGTTTCCGTGTTTGTTTTTTTTTCTTTTTGTCGCTGAAGTTGTTGCTGACTTCGAAAATACACACGTAGGTGTTCCATAACAGCCACGCGTACGTTTGAATAGTCTTCATTTCACGAACGCCATCGTCCATAGCGGTGCTATATAGCCATATTCGAAGAGACCACGAAAAAATTAAGGAAGTTATGGCACGAACGTAATGAATTACAAGCACTCCTGCAGGCGACATATGATGTATCATTGGCTAACAGTACACATACGCGGTCTCAAGACGTGCGTAAATGTTTGCGCACGCACCCTAGTTACATAGATACGGGTGGTTGTGATAAACGAGAGTATAGCCATAATGGATCTAACGAACGCGTTCGCTTGCAGACATTATTGTAAAGCGTGGCTGAGTTCCGCTGCTGAGCAAGTTAGTTTTGAATGTTTACAAAACAACAAACAATAAATGGGCGATTGTTGCACTATATTTGAAAAAAAAATCATAGGAAAAGAAATGCATGCGCAACGTAAACCACGGTACCGAAAAATCTGGTACCAATACGCTTTTTTTTTTTTACTATAAGCCAAATGATTTTTTTGAGAAAGATCTCTCACGAACAAAGCTATTCATAAGTCCAAGGACACCTCCGATCTAAACGGTACCCTGTATCCGCAATAATAATAATAATAATAATAATAATAATAATAATAATAATAATAATAATAATAATAATAATAATAATAATAATAATAATAATAATAATAATAATAATAATAATAATAATAATAATAATAATAATAATAATAAAGTCTTACGCTGAAAGTCCTCGTAAGAAAATATTTCAGCCTATCGGCATTTAGTAACTCCGGCTCACCAATGGAAAAGCGGCGCACTTACGGAAGATAAGTTTTGGGGATTCGGCCTCACTTATATCCCGGTGGGAGCGTGTTTTGCTGATTTCCTGTCTATTAACGATGTTGTGGCAATGGACGATCTATCAGCTGTAGTTATTATCTGACGGCTGTATACAATCACGAGCAATATGGTAAACAACCCGCGGTACCCGTAACGGTAGTCTATAGTGAGTGACTACGATGCTCAATTGCTGAGCCACAGGGTTGCGGTATCGAATCCCGGCCGCGGCCGCCGCATTTTCGATGGGGGCGAGAATGTTCTATAAGGCCTGTGTACAACCGCGGATGGTGTAAAATTCCAGAGCCCTCCACTGCGGCGTCTCTCATTACCACATTTTGGTTTTGGAACGTTAGACCCTGTCCGTTATGATATTAATGGAACATCCCGCGGGGTCTCGACTCACCGTGGTGTCGCTGTGGCGAGCACATACCACGGGCCGCTGTGGCGGCGCCAGCGGCGGCTTCTGGATCGCGCGGCCGCCCGTCGCGCGGACGTCTTCGACGGCCAAACTACGGGTGCGACAGCGTACGTCTAGGCGTCATTGTCACACTGCCGTCGCACTCGCCCACGGAGGCCGACGGCCCACTTTGGAGACACCCCTTCTACACCGGCCGAAGTGTCAATGATGACCGCGCCGCGTCTCCAACGGCGCACTCTCTCGTTTCCTGCTCGATGCCGCTCCCCCACCTCATTTTCGGTACTCACAAACGCCTCCCTCACGCACCTTTTTCTGGTCGCTCTTCAACAGGTGTGGACAACGCGCACTCTCATTTTCGGCTACGGTCCTCTCGCTTTTTTCTCCAAAGAGGGAGGGTGGTCAGGAGGGAGGGCAGTGATGTCGATCGTTCTAAAAATTAGAAACCACATCGGGGCGGAGCAGTGAATTTCGCGTGGCAAATGGGCGTGTTTCAAAGCTTGTGTGCGCGCCTTTTTCTCGTGGAGGACGTACTAGAATTGGCGCATTACGGGCAAGAAAAAAAACAAAAAAAATTTAAAAATAAATAGCACCTACTGGCATTGGAAAATGAAGCGGTGTTAGTGGCTTGAAATTCGCTGTTCTCTTCCCCACTTCTGTGAGAAGGGACCGAGCGTGGTCAATTGTTCAGAATCGCCCGGCTCATTGACATCTGGCGCTTGTATTTTTTTTTTAAACACGCCGAATAAGAGTTCTCTGCTCGCCGAAACCTCACACTCAGAGGATTCTGCATTAGCAGCAGGGAACAATTTTCACCGCAGCTCCACACACATCGGCATCGGAAGGGGGGTACACTTGCCCCGTTCAAGC